TAATTGGTTTAAAATTTATATAAGAAATTATTGAAGCGGAGAAAGACTATCAGAAATCTGGGATGAGATAATGATGATATTTGAGGAATTTTAGACCTAAGAGAAACTCCTGAGCCTCCTGGAGGGAGAGTTATTCAGTTTCATCGTTAGATTAAAGGACAGAAGCCACATGAAGAGAAGCTGCTTACACTAAATTCAATTGGTTGATGGTGGCACAGTGACTGCTTATGTGGGAAAGGCCCCTCAGCGCCATGATCACACTTTCTGAGAAGAGGCAGTAAGCTCTGTTTTCCTTGCAGTCACGGGAATTGAACTCAGGGGCTTCACCACTGAGCCGCCTCCCCCAGCCCTTTCTATTTTTAATGTTGAGTCAGGGTCTCTCTCAGTTGCAGAAACTGGCCTTGATCTTGCACTCCACCTGCCTCAGCCTCCCAAGTCACTGGGATTACAGAAGTGTGCCACCCCACCTGGCAGCAGGAACCTTTTAAAAAACACTGTTCTTTGATCAAAGTGAGGGCGTGACATAAATTGGTCACTGGTGAACACTTTTCTGTAGGCTGCGTATTTGCTGTGGTAAGTAACCTCCTGGGGATCAATTTTAAACAGTAACAAGGCATAAAGGGAGTAAATGCATGTAAGGTCATGTCCCCGGCCTGTGCTGCTCAAAGGCGTCATTTCTATTTCACTTTGTTCAGGGACAGGGTGGCCAGTGCTTAACAGCCTCATGTCACCACCATTAAGTGTATACTGGAAGTTCCCAGATTTCAGCATGCATAGAAATTGCAAAGGATGCTCCCTTAAAATATGTATTCCGGGGCCCCACCTGAGAGATTCTGATTAGTCTATCTGGGATGAGACCCAGGAATCTGCATTGGGACAGGCACTTTGAGTGATCCTCGGGTTTCTCTGGGAAACACTCCCAGAGGCCAGGTGATTTGATGGCAAAGTTGTGAAAACTGAAGGTTTATCACCTGTATTTTCCCTCTGATAGTGTGGGGCAGAGAGTCCCCAGTGAGACACCAAAATACTTCTCAGAAAGAACTTCTCATCTGCTTAACTGTTTGGCAAAAAGCATGAAAAATAAAACTTTTTTTGCCTTAAAATGTGTGGCCAGTGCAGTCATCTCTGCTGCCAAAATAAAGCACCACAGACAGGTTGCTGAACCAGACTTGTCCTCTTCACAGCGCTGGAGCCTGGACGTCTGAGAGCAGGGTGCTGGCCTGGTCAGGTTCTGGTGAGGGCTCTTTTCTGATGTGCAGATGACGGCCTTCTCCATGTGTCCTCGTGGGGGGCCTGGTGGAGCACCCTCTCCCTGACTCTCCTTACTGGGCGCCGGCCCCACCGTGAGAGCCTCACCTGTGACCTCAGCCAGGCAGATACGCCCACAAAGGCCCTGTTCCCAGTACGAGCTCATCAGGGCTCAGCGCTGGCCTTCTGGAGGGACGCAGTTCAGGGCATCGCAGTCAGAGTGCCAGTCATCCCCGTCGGCCCTGGGAAGGGAGCTGGTCCGTGGTCCTGAGGAGCCTCTGACTCGAGGCTGGGCCCTCCAGGGCTGTTACCAGGAGAAGTCCCGCGGAAGGTCCTCTCACCGTGCTGGAGGAGTGAGCCACAGCATGGACCTGAAGGTGGACATTCCTGGGAAAGCCATTTGGGTGCCAACATTGCTGGAGTGCAGCGTCCTCCCCAGCACCCCTTTTCTTTCTTATTTCTCCTGCTAAAAGAGCTGAGGGCAACCGTGGTTGTTCAGTCCAGAGTAATGAAGCCTAAGTTGGTTCTGTCAGCAACTGGAGAGAGCAGGGGCAGGGGAGATGGACTTCCTGAGGGGTGGGGGGAGGGACCTCCTACTGCAGATTCTCCAGGAGGCAGCTCTTTCATTGTGAAATCACAGTATGACTCGCTCTGATTGAGAACTCTGGCTTCACACTTAACTCAGTGTTAGAATCTTTAAAAAACAGAATAAAAATGACTCATGTGACTCGGGTTGTGTAGTACTAAGGTCACACATTTCAGTTCAAATATACAATGTGCACGTTCTAAGATAAGAATAGATGGCAAGAAAAAAAGTTAAAATACTAAGAAATGTCACACACAATGTGAGGTCCACAGGTAATGGAATGGCTCTGCCTGGGAGTCCTGGGAGACAAGTCCTGCTCTCAGACACACCCCCAAGGTCAACCATGTGAGATGGTGGATAGGCTAGCTTGCTTCCCCCTGGTATCTGCATGCTGTGTATATCCATCTTCTATACCTTAAATATACACAATGAAAGTTTTATTTCAAAAAATTTTAAGTACTAAGAAATGCTAAAAAAAAATATGAAACAGTCTTTTCCAAGTGTTCTCAGATCAGTCTCTTAGAGAAGTTGTGAGGTTGTATGGGTGAGTTTTCTTTGTAGACAACAGTCATTAAACTAGAAAGCCATTCCATTAGACTTTGACTCTTTAGTATGAGTTTTTTTTTACCCACAAAAAATGACCCATCTGAGTATAGATTGGAATTCTGCAGTTCTGTATCCTCCATATATGTATTCTCCCTATTGGCTTATTCTGATACTCATAGTTAATACTAATGTATTATCAATGGCAAGTACTAAATTAGTCTTTTATACAACATGAAAATCCTAGCCATTCAGCTATTCAGTTCATAGCTGAATAGTAAAACTATTAACCCAACAAAGTCAGTACCATTCATGGTAATAAAACATACTTATTTTAATAATATTTAAAAGTTTTGTTTAAAACTCCTCTCATAGAGTTTGATGATGAAACAAAGTTTTCTGTATGGTTCAGTGAAGGCCATTTCCAGTTCTTGCCTGCTTGGAAATCTTCATTATGTCAACATATACCAGCCTGGAGCCCCACTAGTCTCCCAGTTCCACCCACCATGCACCCCGTTTCACACCATTCTCGCCCATCACACACGTCCATACTCTGCTGTAACAGCCAACATATACCTAGCTGCAGAAAGACTGTAATGTAATGCCAGCACATAAGTGCCTGTATTTAAAACATTTCTGTCCATCAAAGGATTTAAAGAAAAGTTTCAAAAGAATTTAATACAAATATTCAAGCTACAATTAAAACTATTAAAAAAATACAAGAGGGTTTAAGTGAAAGATGGAAGTTCCCCATCCACTACGGCTCCCTGTTCACTGCCCATGGCCCCATGGCCCCATTGGGTTCAAAGCTTCTTGTGCTGCTTTCTAGAGTGTGCCATAAATACACGTGTATGTATATGTGTGTGTGCACATGTATAGATGTGAACTTATAAGTGAGTGTACATATTTAATTCTAAGAGCTGTGGACAGTGAGGACAGTGCCACTCAGCACTCTCTGTCCTGGGATAGGTTCACAAGCCTCCCTGGGGTCCTCTCTGGTGTCATCTGGAGCCCAGGTTGGCCTTGGTCTCCATTTGGAAACCTTCCACAGAGTGGAGAGCTGCTGGGGACTGGTAACAGTCTCTGGTCTACCTGCTGGGGAGGCTCCCCAGCCTAGATGTCCTCCTCCAGACTCCCAGGGAGGCCAGTGGCCTCCCAGGGACTTCTCAGCCCTGACTCTATAAATATGATTTTCTCAATGGTAGGAGGTATTTCTGGAATGTATTGTCAAAATAAAGCATTTTCCTTTCCAGCCACTTTTCAAAAGAGCAATGTGAGGGGGGAAATGCTTTATCTGGTACCTTTTGGTGCAACTCGTACCCCCCTCCCCCCCCTGCCAAAAAAATAAATAAATAAAACACACACACACACAAAAAAAAAACAAAAACAAAAAAAAAAAAAAAAACCCGACTTTTAAAGGAAAGTTATCTTGAGTGCTTCAGTCAGCAGAATGCTGGGACTGGGAAAAGGTAAAGACATGGATTTGTACGATCATTGTGCAATCTTCAATGGCCACTAAACACTGCACCAATCATTAAGATATTCCAGATGATCACAATGTAAAATTATATTATTTATTTAGCATCATTTTTCAGAGACTCATAATTTCTTTTAAAAAGCTTTTAGCTTTTCATTCATAAGCTTATGAGCAAAATCCAGAGAACTTGATACACGTGTAGTGAGGAAGCACAAGGGAATAGAATTATTTACCCAACCTCATAAAAAAATTGATGTAAACGTAAGTCCCTGCACACATCAATTAATGACATGGCTTTTATAATGCAGGCAAATCTTACCTAATGAGGTTGGCATTAGGATTTCAGAGCACATTATTCTAGATGTTCAGTTAGTACCTAGATACTTTATTCTCAAAGTAATACTAGGGAACTTTAAAACAAAAATCAAACCATATCCTATTAGTTCAAAAGTGCAAATATATAGGTAATTAAACAACTCTCATTACAGGACAATTATTTTCAGCAAAGTAAATCCGAATCCATACTTGAATTTATATTTGCTAAATCTTGATTAGGTCATTGAAAAGACAAGCCCTGTGATTTATTTGGAGGGAGAAGGGGAGTTCCCCTTAAGAGGAAAAGTTAAAACCAGTATCTTACAAGATGGATGCTTGGCCTAAGTGCCAATCTCTGTGTGTGTGGGGGGGGGGGGGGAGGGGGGGGGGGAGGGAGAGAGAGAGGAGAAAGACATTTTCCATTAAAAGTAGGAGCTGTGCGTGGAGAGGGTCGCTGTGCCCTGACGCATGAGTACACAAGCTTCTTCAGTGTCCAAGCCTGGTGCCTGGGTGCCAAGCACCTGCAGCCTCTATTTCCAAGACTTTAAGAGGAGGAGACGGTTACTGCCACAGGGGAGGCTGGCTGAACGCGGGCATTGCCAGGGTCACCGGAGCGGTGGGTGGGTGGGGGGGAGTGGTCTTCACCGTTATTCCATCAGAACAGCATTTTCTGGGGACGGGAGCTGTTCTCCGAAGGGCTCCCTGCCGCCCTGGGGTCCAGCGGCTCCTTGTGGCTGCGTCCTTAGAGCCGGCCTGGCGGGCCCGGCCCGGGTCTGGTGCGCGGCGACCGTGCGATCCCCGGTCCCACAGCTGTTCTGTCCTTGCGCCTAGGTCCATGGAGGGGAGCCCGTCCCTGAGGCGCATGACGGTGATGCGCGAGAAGGGCCGGCGCCAGGCGGTCCGCGGCCCGGCCTTCATGTTCAACGACCGGGGCACCAGCCTCACGGCTGAGGAGGAGCGCTTCCTCGACGCCGCCGAGTACGGCAACATCCCCGTGGTGCGCAAGATGCTGGAGGAGTCCCGGACGCTAAACGTCAACTGCGTGGACTACATGGGCCAGAACGCGCTGCAGCTGGCCGTGGGCAACGAGCACCTGGAGGTGACCGAGCTGCTGCTCAAGAAGGAGAACCTGGCGCGCATCGGCGACGCGCTGCTGCTGGCCATCAGCAAGGGCTACGTGCGCATCGTGGAGGCCATCCTCAACCACCCCGGCTTCGCGGCCAGCGAGCGCCTGACCCTGAGCCCCTGCGAGCAGGAGCTGCAGGACGACGACTTCTACGCCTACGACGAGGACGGCACGCGCTTCTCGCCGGACATCACCCCCATCATCCTGGCCGCGCACTGCCAGAAGTACGAGGTGGTGCACATGCTGCTGCTGAAGGGCGCGCGCATCGAGCGGCCGCACGACTACTTCTGCAAGTGCGGGGACTGCACCGAGAAGCAGCGGCACGACTCCTTCAGCCACTCGCGCTCGCGGATCAACGCCTACAAGGGGCTGGCCAGCCCGGCCTACCTGTCCTTGTCCAGCGAGGACCCGGTGCTCACGGCCCTGGAGCTCAGCAACGAGCTGGCCAAGCTGGCCAACATCGAGAAGGAGTTCAAGGTGAGCCCTGTGCGCCCGGCCGCTCCCTGGGCTGTCCACACTAGGCCCCGGAAGCTCTAGAATGGGCTTCACCCAGTGGATCTTAGGTCACCAGGGATTGGAGCACCCTCGGAGTTGATGTGATGATTTTCCCTTGTCGATGATAGTGCTGTGATATTCGCTCTGGGGATGGGTATATTCTGAATCCGAGCTACAATTCTGGAATCCCTCTGTGTTCTGGGTAAGCGTTAAATAAAACTCAAGACCTCTCCACCCCCTTTGACCAAATAAGATTTGGTGTGACCTTCCCCCTCCCCAATTCTTCCTCCTGTCTTGCAGTTAGATGTCCGGTGACACCCAACACAGAAGTAGTATTAGCTTTTTGGCTTGTTTTTATTCCCGGGGTAGGGGTGGGGGTGCCTGGTCCCTGGAGGAGCTGCACGACCAGGTCCATGATGGGAGTGGACGCTCCTATGCCTTCCCTCTGCGGTGATATGAGTTTTGAAAGCCCTCTTAATGGGCACAAGTGTTTTGATAGCCCTTTACAATCAAAGATCAAGAGGATGATATAAAACACTATTAAAATCATTTCGTTAATGTGACTAATGCCTCTTCCTGAATTCCACAAATGTCTTTTCAGAGGGTGAGACATAGATGTCAGGTCAAGGCAGAAACCCAAGGACACCCAAATGGGTTGCCTTAATGGGTTTTTGTTGTTGCTGTTAATGAGTGAACATTTTTATTCCGCTTTAATGGACTTTTTAAGTGAGTGAACTTTTTTCTGGACCTAATTTCCAGTCAAGCAGTATTATTTTTATAAAGATTATATATTAATGAGAGACTTTTTTCTCATTGCTGCATCCTCCTATGCATTTTGAATGTTTCTAGCTGTTAAACTCTAGGGCAAAAGTGTATTTTGTACTTCTGGTAAAAATCAGTCAAACTCTTCAGCAGTTCTTGTCTCCCACTTTTCACCTAAGAAGATGCAGGCATCAATTCCTTGAATGATTTTCTGGGCACCGTGTTAATTTTTTGGTTTAGTGTTGTGGTATCAAATCACAGGAAGAGTGGTTTGTCTGTCTTTCACATCTTAACATTATTTTTCACATATAAGTGAGATTTATTCAATGTAACCAGCAGCATAATTCAGGTTAAGGAAAAACTGTTTTCCTCTGGGGTTGCAAGAAAATGGTGGCAGAGTGGTTTTCTCCCCTGCTTTCCAAACACCAAATTTCCTACCTATTCATCAGACCTTGCTAGATCTCCTGGTGGAGATCTAGCCTTAAGGTAATCTTGTTAATTCATTCAATTTTTTTTCCTGATGCAAAAGCTAGACATAGTTATTGTAAAAATCTTTTCAAAAAACATGGGAAAATACAAAGAAGAAAATGAGTATCACCTTATATCTATTCCCTTTGAAGACATTTATTATGTGGTAATTGAAAAGATCTATTTCCTTGGATCCAAGATGAAAGTCTTTTAGACAGAATCCAGGTTGAAAAAGTTCAAAACTTCAAACTGGCTAGAGAGAGCAGAAAAACATTTGGGTGAAATGCTTCTAAATATCAGGGTTTTTGTTTTGTTTTGAGACAATAATCGAAACATAATTCTGAATTTGCTTATTTGCCACCATTTCAAAAGCACCACGAACCTTGTTTTTAGTTTGCTTGATGTATATTGAAAGTCTGCAGAAGAAATTCTATAGACAGGATTATTTTGAAAGATTCTGTAATTTACTAAAGATGGCCATGTTTGCAGTTTTCCCAGGGAAGGCATGCAGAGAAGCAGCGGCCAGGCGTTTGTTAGTCCTAGTTTCCCCCGAAGCTGGCTAAGTCCATATCAGTGGTGCTGGGACTCCACTCTGATGGAAGAGTCGCTTCTGATAACCTTTCAGGGGTGGGAATATCGCAGGTGCAGCAGCCCACAGGGACAAGCACAGGGAGTCCCAGAGGACAGCCATGGGGCGGCCACACACTGAGAATGGGCCAGTGTCCCCAAATCTCCAGTTCCTTTTCTCCTTGCATGGCAAGTGGGTGTAGCCTGACCCCCTCTGAGCCTGGGAGGACTGTCCTCCCTGCAGTCAGAGCCTCCCAAGACTGCCAGCCTCCCTGCCCTGACCAAGGCGCTGTTCCTCCCCTGCGCCCCGTCCTGGCTGTGCCCTTCTCATCTCTCTCCTGCTGCCCCTGTGCCCTCCCATCCCGGGCGCCTGGCATCTGTCAGGGCTTTGGAGAGAAAGAGAAGCTGGTGCTTTCCCAGCCTGACCCAGACTCTCTGAGCTCTGAAAGGGCAGTGCGAGCAAAGCTCTTCTCTGAGGAAAGCAGGTAACCTAATTTGCCCTGTTCTGCCGTGTTCGCAATACTCTCTCCGCAGGGACTTTGAGTACCAGCCTTGGAATGGAAAAATAGATATCGCGTTCCCTGGTGAAATCGTGGTGATTTTCCCCTTCTCAGACACCTATGCCTATTCGTCTTATTAATGGTCTGTAATAGCTCATGTCTCACCTCTCAAATTGCCTTCCTGTAGGTGCTTTGGAGGAGATTCTCAGCCACTGTGCAGTTTCCAAAGTTCCTTGAGGGCCACAGTCCGCAGGGTGTCAAAAACACATGAAGGTCATTACCTGCAGAGGTCGTGCATTCTAGGACATAGATTTAGATAGATCAACAGAGGACAGCCCAGTGACAGGTTATTAAAGAAGTATTTTAGATGTGCAAATGCTGTCTGAAGCTATTCTGAGGAACAGAATATTGGACAGGAGGGACTCTGGGTCTAATTGGCCACATGTCAGTGACAAGGAAGTCAGCCATCTATTAACAGTGAGAAAGCAAATTGAAATTTCCTAACTCTGACTGATCGGGTGATGTACTTTTTAAATAAAAGACAAAACAAAATGACAATAGCTACAAAACAAAGCCACCAGCCTTCCCTGTGCCTCAGTTTGCCTCTCCTTAAAGCAGAAAGGCAGTTTCGATTTACATCACAATAAGGAGAAAGAAAATAAATATGATCCACACGCAGGGTGATGTTTGAGAGCAGGAGGATACTCTAGGAGTCATCTGCTTCCACAGACCCCTCATTTACAAATGAGGAAATCAAGGCTAAGTCCCAGGTCCCATTTGCTAAGCCTCGATTTGAGTGTGTTAGATCCCTGTTCTAGGAATTATAGCTAGAACAATAGACCTGATGATACTGAAGCACCTCTAGTACTTAATGTGTACCAAGCATTTAATCCTTACAGTACTTGTAGAAGGTAGGATTATTCTCATCAGAGAGGGTAAGTAAATCCCACCAGATTACACAGCAGGTCAGTGGTAGAAGCAGGGTTTGAGTCCAGGAGTCTGACTTCAGGTTCTGAGGGAAGCCAAGCTCAATCACTACACCTCCTCCCTCTTTTGCTGTTAGAGAAAGGACCCTGGAGAACCAAGCCTGCTTAGAGTTGAACTTAGTTTTCCTCTTCAGGACAGAAAGGGATTGGAATGGAGATTAGACCATTTAAATTGAAAGAAGTACAGCTGAGTGTTGATGAAGACTGAGCTCTGCAGTCACTGCTTTGGCTTGAGCAGGTCCTGGGGGTTTGCAGCGCCTGCCCTGTACTGTGCCGTGAGTCCCTCTGCCAACTGGAGGGCCATGGAAATGGAAAAGCAGCACTGTGAAGACCATTAGGCAAAACTTAAGAGAGGAGTGTCTTAGAAATGGTAACCAATCATGATCTGAGCTGCGAAGCCACTGGGCAGGACCTCAGAGTGGAATGAGCAGTCAGCCTAGGCTTCACACGAATGCCCTTCCGGGAACTGACGGCAGGTGCTGAGCTTAGATAGAGCTGTCTGCCTTCCTGAGGGCTCCCAGTAGCTCTTAGAAATGGTGCCCCACGATGGCAGTGAAGGAGATTCCCATTAGCTGGTCCTGGTGGTGCACGCCTGTAGCCCCGGGTATTCGAGAGTCTGACAAACGGGTTGCTTGTGCCCAGGAGTCAAGAATTTCAGGTCAATCTGGGCAATGCAAGGAGACCTCAGGTCAAACAGGCAAAAAGAGAGAGAAGAAGGGGAGGACAAAGGAAGGAAGGAAGGAAGGGTGGACCATTGTCTCCAGCTATGATTGTTTTCTGCACTTTGTTATGAAAACAAAACATTGTCCTTGCAACTTGCATAATTACTAACTTTTTGTTTCTTGACTGACCTTTCGGTGAATGTGAAAAAAATTTACACAGCTTTTCTTAAAACTGGACACTTTTCAGATTATGATTTTAAAGGTAATGAGTCAGCATTTAGGTATCACTGCAAAAGCCAAGTGCTGAGCTTTCTTCCAAGCCTGGGAAGCAGCCTCTTTTATTTCTGATCGGTGGAGAAATGGCCATCCTATGTTTTACAAATCTTACAGAACGGTCTGAACTGAAGAGTAACACGAGAAAATTTCATCTAAAAAGACTGTATTAAAAAGGGAGCTTTCTATGGAAACGGGCATGGATTTAATACTTCTGTGTGCTATAATAGAATATTTCATTAGTCCAAGGGAATGGAGGGCAGATGGAAGTTTAACTGACCCTCTGCTTAGAAACCAGAGACTGGACGTTTTATTAATTTTATCAGTTGCATAGTACCAACTTGAATGGAAACCAAAGATCGAAGTTTTATTCATTGTATCTGTTCCCTTATGAGAGGAAAAGGATTAACTGTGACTGTTCCGTATCTAATCTCTGACATCTGAAATGGAAACTGTGTTAGTTGGGGCAGCCTTTGAACAAATCCTCTTTCCTCTACTTCTTTATTTTAGTTGGTGCAGTTTTGCCCATAAGATCAAGTTAAATATTTAAAGGAAGAGAATTGGAATTCTTTGTGTCTTCTTGCAAAGAATGATTTCTGGAAGCCCGGGAATTCTACGGTGCTAAGTATTGCTTGGTTATACAGACACAAGGAGTCTCAGAATGTGTTGAAATGAGGAATTCTATTTCCCTCAAGTGTACCAAATTAAATTATTATCTGGATGGCTTCCGTAAGGGGCTAGAATTTTAGTTCACAGAGGTAGAGCTGAGGTTTCTGAAGGTGAGGCACTTTCCCAAGAGATGGTCTTTGGCACCTTGACCGGAACCCAAGGCTAGAAATAGAGCTGCCTTCAGGAGGCAGCAGGGACTGCTGTGGGCACCACTAAATATGCAAATGAAATTAAAAACTCACAGATTATTTTTAGCAAGGTGTTAGTTCCAGTGGCCTGGAAATTTTTCTCGCAGGTATTGACTTTCTGTAACCCTTGAGATTTCAATTATGTATAATCAGGCATTTCTCTCCTAGTTCTACTGGGAGTGATAATGTGCCTTGCAGACAAACCAGGAAGAAAACCCTCCTCATACGGGTGGGAACCCATTCGCTCCTTCATGTTTATCAGAAAACATTCTCAAGCATGAGCTTGGGTCAGAACCACTCACAGGTTGCTGGGCCCTCCTCCATTTCTGCATCAGGACACCTGGTCTGAGAACTGTGCTTTGAGAAGCAACCTCTCCTACAAGGCAAGAGATGGCGACCTGGACGGGGTCCTTCCACATGTAGTCCATCTTCCATGTCCAATTGCCAGTCAATAGATATAGTGTTGTTTGGGCTTTAGAATAACTATTGTGTGTATAAAACAGATACAACTCTTTGATCCTTTGGTCTTTCAGCATTGCCAATTAGCCAGCATCACTTAGTAAGAACCAGTGAATTATAAGCACATCACTTTTTTTAAAGCAAATGTAAATTTTTTTATTTTTTGTAGTGATGGTGAATCAAACCCAGGGCCTCACACATCCTAGGAAGTGCTCTGCTACACTGAGCTACATCGCCAGCTAGAATTTTTAATCAACAAATAATAATTTTATATATTTATGGAGTACCATGTGAAATTTTGATGTATGTGTGCAACGTGGAATGATCACATGAGCAGTTAACATATTCATCGCCTCCCTTATCATTGTTTATGGTGTGATACTTGAAGTTTACTCTCAGAAATTTTGTTTTTTTGGGGGGTGGGTATTAGGGATGAAACTCAGGGGCACTCAACCACTGAGCCACAACCCCAACCCTATTTTGTATTTTATTTAGAGACAGGGTCTCACTGAGTTGCTTAGTGCCTCATCATTGCTTAGGCTGGCTTTGAACTTGGAATTCTCCTTCTCAGCCTCCTGAGCCCCTGGATCACAGGTGTGCGCCACTGCACCTGGCTACTCTCAGCAATTTTGAAATATTACATATCACAATAGTTACATTGTGGTAACTGTAACCACTGTGCTATGCAATAGATTTTGAAAATCCATTCCTCCTGTCTAACTGAAACTTTGAACCCTTTGTTCACCATCTCTCCATTCCCTCCGCACCCCAGTTAACCATTATCTGTTCTTCACTTCCAGGGGTTGGGGGGTTTAGATTCTACATGTAAGTGAGATCGCATGCCTACTGTTTTCGGAACTGTCCCACGTCATTGGGCAGGTCATAGAGGGGAACCTAGCTAAGGGGTAGAGGAGGCAACTCCAGCCCTCTCTATCTCAGCAAGACCTCCTGTCTGGGGAAGGGACACCTTTGCTAATCCACACACACCTAAACGCTTCCCGCTGGGTAAAGGGAAATCTGTTGTTTTAAGCAGGACTATAAGAACCTCTTGTTTTTAGAACGACTACAGGAAGCTCTCCATGCAGTGCAAAGATTTTGTGGTGGGCGTGCTGGACCTCTGCCGGGACTCGGAGGAGGTGGAGGCCATTCTGAACGGAGACCTGGAGTCTGCGGAGCCCCCGGAGGTGCACAGGCACAGAGCGCTGAGCCGCGTCAAGCTCGCCATCAAGTATGAAGTCAAAAAGGTGAGTGGACGCTTCACCATGGATTGAAGGAATTCCTGTTACTTCGTGAAAGACATTGAGTAGAGAATCCAGGTAGAGCTGCAAGATGAACGTCTAGGTTTGAATCCTTTCCACTTATTACCCATTATGGGTCCTTGGATAAGTCATAAATCTATAAGTTTCAGATTCCTCATATAAAAGGAGGACATTCCCCGTTATGTGTCTCAGGTTTTGGTGGGATTTAAACGGATGAAGATATGCAAAACATTCTGGCAACTGTTGCAATTTCAACGCAATTAATACCAGTATCTGTAGCTTGTAGACATGTAAGTATAATCACTGTGCTATGCAATGGATTTCAAAAATCCAGTCCTCCTGTCTAACTGAAGCTTTGAACCCTTTAATCACCATCTCTTCATTCCCTCTGCACCCTAGTTAACCACTTGTTCTTCGCTTCCAGGAGTTGGGGGGTTTAGATTCCCCGTATAAGAGAGATCGCATGCCTACTCTTTTCAGAGCTGTCCCATGTCGTTCGTACTATTACACTGACAACAGGCTGGGGGACTCACATGTAAGGTACTATTACATTTTTTTCTCATCCTAATCTTTGCAGCAAGACTATGTTATTATTTATTCTACTATAAAATAGCTAAGATAGATGATGAGGTTTCTCTGGTACTGGAAAACTGAAGGTCACTGGCTTAAATGACATGTCCAAGGTCCAGAGCTATGGAGTTGGTCATATAAGTATGAGAAATTGAAAGTATGATTATTTTTATTCTGATTATTGCAGAAAAACTGTTAGGTATATTTATAAAACTGTTAGGTATATATATTTCATTTATTTCTAAAACTGTTAGGGATATATATTAAATAAATAGATAATTAGATAATAAAGTATTAGATAATTCATGAAAATAGTAGTTGCAGTATTTTTCACTATAATAAAATCATATTTATCCAGAATCCGACAGTTTATCCATGTTGTAGCTGAGGGGGTTTCTTGGTTTCTTTGTTCTGTTTTTGTTTTTTGCTGTGTGTGCTTTAAATGGAGCTGACAGATCATGAAGACGTTAGCTATTATTAGAACAGACATAGATCTGGATTCGTGATCAGGTCAATGACCAGCACGGCTTCTGTCCTTTCTGCAGAGTGTCATGGGGCTTAGGAGGACAGGCATCGGAGCCACCCTGCAGGACTCAAGGCCTGATGTTGCCATGGGTTCCCCGAGTGGCCAGTGGCAAGTCGCCTGGCCATCTAGGCTCCATCTGCTGGTCAGGAAAGTGGGGACCATAACAGTGGCTAACATTCGGGTGTTTGATGGTTGGTTACAGCAGATACAGGGGGCTACACGGTGTTTGCTCAATAAGCATTAACTAATAACATTTCTCCATTATGAAAATTCCTGCTCAAAGTGAATGACCTTTAGGCAAGATCAGTCACTAAAGACATGTTTCGGGTCCCTTGTGCTGGTTCCAGTCCTTGGTATCAGACGTAGCCAATTTTAGCAGGAAACCATGGAGTAAGGGGTGTTAGGAAGCTCACAGAACCAGAAGGAAAGGTGGAACTAAGCTGGGCTTCTAGAAACTTCACTGGAACTGACCTGGACAGGGAGTTCCTGTGGCCCCAACAGAACAATTCTGCGGCTGAGTAGACAGCGGGCTCCTGCACCGTGGAAAGGACGCTGTGAGTCCCTCAGCCTGTTGTCAAAGGGCCCTTCCAAGTCATACCAGCCAGGAGCTCTTGGCAGCAGGTGAGGACGGGGCAGTCTCCCTGCACCCTCGTGGACACACACAGGTGTGCACACACATGCACAACACGACCACAGTGTGGAGAGCTTTGCATGTGGTGCTACGTAGATTCTGTTCAGACATTAATGACAAATCTCCCTTTCCTTAACAAGACAGTCAGATGTGAAGGTTCTCAGCAAAGATCAGAGCAAAATAACTTTTCATGGAAATTATTAGTTGCAAGGTAATTAAGTTGGCTTGACCGCCCTCCTCTCGGCGCATCCTTGCTAGTTGAGGTTTCACTATGTTGGGGGAAAAGATAATTTCAACAAGATTGATAGTAAGCTGTTTTTAGAAAGTTGTCTGGACACGTCTTCAGGGAGCTTGCAATATGTGGTCCTTCCGTTTGGCACCTGAGAGAAGAGAATTGATTCTGCTTGTCTCTGTTTTTTTATCATTGCTGTGGAATGTCGTGTTGGCAGAGATAGCTCATCTGCAGACGCACACCTGTTAACCAAGCTGTCTTGCAGAGTGATTGTCCTTCTGCATGTTAATTTTAAGCAAATTGGTGCATAGGTCACAATGCGTGAGGTGTCATTAATAATAAATTTGCTATCAGTCAACCACCAGGAAACAAACAAACAAACAAACAAAAAGTATTTAGAACTGAAAGGCGACTTAGCACTTCATAAGCATTTCTGTTCTGTTTGTTTTATGCCGTAAGGAATATTGAAGCCTTTGGTTTGGAATCTTCACTCAATAACAGTATATAAGAACTTCATTCTAGCTAGGCATGGTGGCACACCTATAATCCCAGCTGTCCTGGAGGCTGAGGCAGGAGGGTCGTAAGGCCAACCTCAGCAACTTACTGAGACCCCCCCTCTCGAAATTAAAAAGAGAACACCTGGAGGTGTAGATCCTGGGTGCAGTCACCGTCCTGGGGGGGGCTCTGTCCTGGAATCCCAACACCGCCCCAGCTCTCCCTTTCCTCTGCTGTCTCGGAGGCTGGCTGCACTGCCCGCTCCCATCTCCACCCCAGCCAGGAGGAAGAGCATCACCCCTTCCACTCTGCCACTTCCCTCACTACCACCTCCTTACTAGTCCCCAAGCAAAGCGACCTCTAGATGATAAGGACACGTCTGCCCACTGAGGCTCAGAGCTGGTCCACGGGGCTCCCAAGTGACATCATGCCTTATGGCCCCCTGTCCTCAGTAGCCTCGTGACTTCATGCTCATTCAGCCGATATTCCACCGTGGACACTGGCTCTATGCCGTGGAGGCCGACGACTTAGGACTTCTTTCCTCTGCCACCTGCCCAAGGGCTGCTCCCTGCTTTACTCCAGAAGCAGGCCATGAGCCTGGACCAGCGCCGAGCCCCCAGAGCCCAGGTCCTGCCCAGGTCCACCCATGTGCTCCATCAGGCCTCACAGAGCATCCACAGGCGATCAGCAGAATGAAAACGCAGAAGGCCGGAACAGGAAATATGCCACTGTGCTTTTGACGTTTGTATGGGAAAGAAGTTTCCCACATGAAGGCAAAAGAAGTCTCAAAGCAGAACCAAATGATATGCACCCCAGAAAGATCACAGACAGAACAGTGAAGGACCGGGGCTGAGGTGGAGGCTCCAAAGTGTGTGCTCGCCTAGCACGTGCCAGCCCTGGTTTCCGGCCTCAGCACCACGTATCAATGACTAAGTTAAATAAAGGTATGGGTCCAACTACAACTAAAAATTAATTTCTTTTAAAAAAAAAAGCAAGGGACAAACTGGGAAAAGATTTTTCTGGATTGTCACTTACAGAGGATTGATGTTCTTAATATCCAGAGGGCTCAGAGAAATGTGTATGGAAACGTCCAGGGCTGGGGGACAGTGAGCAAGGGCTCCACACGTGACCCCAGGAGAGGAAAACTCAAGTTTCAGTGTTTGCTAACATGCAGACCCTGTGCTCCCCTCCCCTGTTATCAAAGAGTCAAAGCCACAGCTCAGGGGAAATGGGCAAGCCCGTTCACCTCTTCCTATCAGGGAGTAGATTTTGATGCTTACTGATCCTAGAACTATTTCTGTGGGATGTCCAAAGCAAACCATGAGGCCAGAAGGATGATAAACATTGCTATTTACATAGATGGGCACACTATTCCACTAAGAGCATGGAATCCAGTAAAAATGAAATTGTGTTTCTGAAAATTAACTTTTGGACAAAAGCATTAACTTTGTCCAATTAGAATAATGGACTCTGCCCCTAAAAAGGCTTTTGAGTTCCAATCCTGGCTGAACCTCGGTCCTGCTCTGCGAGTGAGCCTCAACCCCTGCCCTCCACAGGTGTGATAAGTGCCACCTGGGAAGTGTCCCAGGAGCCGGCTGTTGTGGCCGATGGCCCTGGATCGTGCAGACCACTTAATCTGTGGACCTGCGATCCTGAGAGGAAGCGTCCCCTGGTCCCTCTCCCTGGTTCCTCTCCCTGCATAATGGGCTCAGTTTCATTGGCTGAGATTCGTCTAAGGAAGGGACGTGAAGCCGTGCAGGCCTGACAGCCCCACAGACACCGACTCTGTGCCCTCGGCCAGGCCCAGGGGCTGCCCCCGCACCTCTCCTCCCCCTGGGCTCAGGCACCCGGACCACAGCAGGCCCTCAGCCCGGCCCACAGTCTGGGAAACCTGTACAGTTTAGAAGCTTTACGTTTACATTTCACAACTCAATGAACTGTAAAAAGAAGTTGTCCAGTTTTCACTCACAAGAATATTTTCTTTTAAGCTGTATGAATTGGGGCTCTATCCGTGTCATTAAAAACAAAAACAGAGTGTTCCTACCACGTTTTTACACAGCAATTTGATATGTGAATATCGTGAAATCTGATTTGATGAAAAGACGGTGTAAAATGAAAATGTTTAAGTGTAAACCTATTTAATTGTTCTGTCTAGCTTGTCCTGATTGGTGGTTCAGTTTACAACCTACTAGTCATTTGGCAGGAAAAAAAAATGTTTGTCCTAGAGTGCTGTGGTTGCTTTGCTCCACCAGAAGATCGACGTTTGCTTGGGTCAAGCATTCTTCCTTCAAATCAGAAAACCTCAAATAAGGGTATTATGTTTGTAATGACTTCAATTTGCTGGTCCACTGAAGTTGGGAAACAACATACAAATTCTATCCAGCTAGCTGTGGTGTGGAACACAGGGACATTTTTTAGAAAGTAAAATAGTTTTAAGAGATAAAGGTCAGTGCCCTATTTTGAAGTCATTGGAAAGTGAAAAACTCATCTCCTAGAGGGATTAGTTTTGTTGGTTTTTTCCCCTTACATGCTAATACTATATTTGGTTTTATCTTCTGCTTTTGAAATGCCCTTTATATGATTGTAGTAGAATTTTAAATTGTTGAGAAAAATCTATTTGCATGAACTAAAAGGAATACAGATGTCATGGAGGGTGAATTATCACAAATAAAGAGAGGTAGAAGTAGGTGTGTAGGAAACACACCTGCTGGGCTGAGTCTTAAAGTATGACACACAGAGCAGACACTGTGACCTGGGCTGGCATCTAACAGGCTGGGAGATTTGCACTGTGTGTCCAAGTCACAGAAAGTCAGACACTGACCCTCACGTTTGCTGTGTGGTAAGGACAGGTTTCTGTCGGGGGTCTGAGGCCGTGCAACCTTTATGCAGATGTGATTCATGCCATCAAACGCATCTTCAGGTCTGAGGATTAGCAGGCAGGAAGAGGGAGAGCCACACCACAGCTTCAATGTTTCCATCCTCAGGGTTTAAAGCCTCAGAGTATCATAGTCCTGGTGCTGCTGTAACCGAATACTTGAGGCTAATTTACAGGAAGAGGGATGCATTCCTCAGAGCTCTGGAGATGGGTTAAGTGATCAAGAAAGCATCAGCAGGTTCAGTTCTGGTGAGGACTGCATCCTTCAGACAGGCAGGCACTGGGTCCTAATGCGGCAGAGAGTGAAGACAAGCTCGCTAACCACGGCGCAGGAACTCTCTCTGTGAGGTTTCATCCCCTCAAGGAGGGAGTGGCCCTCGAGGCCTCCTCAACCCTTAGTAGAGGGATTTCTGCTTTTGTTTTAAGAGACAGGGTCTTGTAATGTTGCGTAGCTGGCCTTGCACTCCTGAGCTGAAGGGATCCTCCTGCCTCAGCCTCCCGAGAGCCGAGGTGTGCACCCTACACCTGGTCACCTCTCAAAGCTGTCGCCTCTTAAGAATATCACATTGGCAACATCCAAATTTTGGAGGAGACACATTCAAACCATAGTCAGCAGACAAGCCCCAAGGAAATTTATCCAGAAATCCCAGGGACACGGCCCACGTGTCTCCAGACCTCACGGGTATTCTGTGCCTCACAGAAACCCTCGACTTATTAAAAAAAAAAAAGGTGCAAGGTTGTGGGGCTGGGGCTATAGCTCAGTGGTAGAGTGCTCACCTCGCACGTGTGAGGCACTGGGTTCGATCCTCAGCACCACATAAAAATAAATAAACTTTTAAAAAAAGAAACATGATATCCTTAAAAAAAAAAAAAAAAGAAGGTGCAAGGTTGGCTTTCCAATTTGGTGACTTATGTACTCAGCCTGTAGCTTTCCTTCCTGTGCCAGCCTGGCCAGTGTTACCAGGGGTGCCCTTTATTTCTGCCTGTCCAACTTCCCACAAATGCAACCCCCCAAATTCCAAGACATGTGGACCAACATCCAAATTAACACTGTTTCATTTTCAACTCTGACCACGCCTGTCCCTTAGCGACAGCTCGCTGTGTGCCCCACGTGGAGTCCCACCTCTGTGACCACGCCTGTCCCTTAGCGAGAGCTCGCTGCGTTCCCTGAGCAGAGCCAAGCCCTCTGGGCAAGGCGGGTGCCCCCATCTTTATCTTCTTGTGCCAAGTGCCCAGCACAGTGCCTGGCTCTCACAAGGTCTCAGCCATTCTGATGAGTGAATGAATAATGAGATGGACACTGGGAGCTGGACAGAGGGGTGACGAATAAGAAAATGATACAAATATAGGACCAGGGCGGGGGTGGAAATTTGGAGTTCTCATCAAGGATCCTAAGAATCTCGTCACATAGACCCAGGAAGTTGTCACCTTGATTATACCCACAGATTTCTTTCTCCTCCCCCTCCTCCTCCCCCTCTTCCCCCCTCCTCTCCCCCTCTTCCCCCCTCCTCCTCCCCTCCTCGTCTTCCTTCTTTTTTCTACAGCTGAGGATGGAACCCCAACTCTGTGCACTGTGGACCAGTGTTCCACCACTGAGCTACACCCCAGCCCTTTTTATTTATTGAGACAGGGTCTCACTAAATTGCCAAGTCTTGCCTCCAACTTGCAATCCTCCTGCCCCAGCCTCCCTAATAGCTGGAATTACAGGCATGTGCCACCACACCCAGCACTATACCCAGGGATTTTATCATTTTCGAATAATGACTGCAATGTTACATGAAATATTGTTTTCAAAAGGCAGAAACTTTAAAGTGCGACAGAATCTTGGTCTGGAAAGTTCTAATGAGTACTTAGCATCTGGCAAGCACTAGAGTGCATAAGGACCTCGGATTTGTATAACTGAATGAAAGGAATTTATAATTAAATGTGTCTTAGTTTGGGCCACTATAACAAAATACCTTAGCCTGGGTGATTTATAAACAAAAGAAATTTATTTCTCACTGTTCTGGGGGCTGGAAGGGGAGCTCAGGGTGCAGCAGGGTTGGGCTCTGGCGAAGGTGCTTTTCCGGGTTGCAGACTGTGATCTTCTCATTTACCCACATGTGGCAGGAAGGGGACTCTTACAAGGGCACTGATCCTGCCATGAGAGCTCCACCCTCACGGAAAGCAAAATGAAAAAGAAAGAAAAAGAAACAGAGACAGACCCCAGGGGTCAGCCATGCTTAGTTCCTCAGCGGAGGGCAAGTTTTCAAGAGAGAAAATGGCAGCTGGTTACAGTAGGGTCTGAGTTCCGGAGGGTTTAGTGAGACTGAATCACAGCAGAATGTGTGGGTGGGGCAGTCGGGGCACAGTTGTGAAAGTCCAGAGCCTTGTTCTCCTTTTCTCCCTGGGGGTTCACTCACAACCTGATCACTTCCCCACACACCCTCTCCTGACACCCTCACATCAGGGGTTGGACACAAACACTAAGTCCGTAACATATAAATATACATTGACCATCAAACAAGAAAAGAGCAGCCTCTTGCAAGCCGTTAAACCCTCCAAACACCACTAGGTAGTGGCGTTGCAAGTAATTCAGTTGAGTATTTCAAATATCACATCTGTGACTGCGTTCCCTCCGCTCTGTCAACTGGCCCTCGAGTCCTCTTGCACGCGGCACGGTGGCAGCTGCCAGAGCTGTCATGCCTGCATCCCAGAGTGGGCGCATGCAGGCTCCAGCCAGGGGTGGCCATGTGGGGGCATCGTGCCCAGGGGTGTGCTCCTCGTGGACAGCTGCGTGGCTTGAGGAACTGCCTGGGTCTCAGGCACCGTTAGGGTCAGTGGCCAGAGCTTGATGGACGAGGAACCCTTGGCCATTGGGAGCTGCGGCTGCTCTCTGCCTCTCCAAGTTCCCAGAACATTTTGTGGGTGCATCCAAACAGGTTTGTTGTTATTGTTTATTCTGGCTTTCCAGAAGACAGTGAGAATTTTATTTTATCATAGTAAAGGCTCCTTTAAAAAAATCTGTTGGCGCTCATAGTCTGCTTTGGAATGACCTCCAGATTCCCAAGCTTGGGCATTCAAAGGAGGGCGTGTCTAGCACCATGGCAGCTTTGGGGCCTGGGAGCTTTACCTTGGCCTGATATTGTGCTGCCCGGAAGAGGGCAGATCCCTGAGAACCCCGGTGCCTCTAAACGATGGAGGCAGATGGGTGGCGAACTCAAATGGCAGGCTGAAGTCAGTGACGCTGGTTCACTTTTCCTGTAGTCATAAAAGAACTGGATGTTTGTGTTCTTCTCGCCTGCGGTGGAGGAAGGCCCTGCCAGAGGGCAGGTTTCTGAAATAGAGAAATCACGTGGATGCCGGCCCCGAGGCAGTGGGCGTGGCCCCGGCACCACCTGCAGGTTACTGGTGCTTTGCAGGTCTTTGGGTTTTCAGTGACAATACCTACACACTCAGAGGGCACAGCGTCTCTGTGTTTCTCATACATGTGGCACTTTAGGGCTGCTCGAGACATTTAAAAACACCCTCTTTCAGCAGTAGTCGACAATAAGCCAGATACCTTCTGCGATTCCATTGGCACTGAGTGCCAGGAGCCGGCAGAGGGCAGGTCGCACACTTTCACCAAAGGAGCCAGGCGCCACTCACACTGCACTCAGGAAGCACTGAACGCTGGAGGGTTTCTGCAGAAAGAACTCTGATGAAGGACAGTGTCAGTCCCACCCCGCCTCCACGTTAGCTCTGCTAACAGTTACCAAGTAGCTTCGGAAAATGGAGGGAAGGCAGAGGAGGATTCTGCGGAACCTCCAGGGCCTGGGTCGGGCGCTGTCTGGGCGCACGTGCGGCCCGGCTGAGCGGTGTGCGCGGTGTGGTGACTTCTCTCTCTCCCCTTCCCCAGTTTGTGGCGCACCCCAACTGCCAGCAGCAGCTCCTGACCATCTGGTACGAGAACCTCTCGGGCCTGCGGGAGCAGACGGTGGCTGTCAAGTGCCTGGTGGTGCTGGTTGTGGCCGTGGGCCTCCCGCTGCTCGCCATCGGATACTGGATCGCCCCCTGCAGCCGGGTACTGGCCCTACACCCTCCTGTGTTGGCGCAGAGTGACCCTCTAGATGAGGAGAGAAGGGAGCTTCACGCTCAGGGCTTCCCCTGGATGTTAGTTCCCTCGGGAGCACAGATCTGTGCCGCATCTGCAGGCACAGGGCACGCAGGCTCAGGAGGAGAGAAAGCCCAGCGCATTCAGGCCCACTCTGCTGACAGCTTCATAAGCAGAGCGTTGACCGTGCTGGAACCAGAAGGGACAGCCCCACTGTGAGAACCAAGCAGTAGGTCATCCGGAGCCGGCCGGAGCCCGTGGGAGCCATCTGAGGCTGGGTCCCAAGCCCACTGAGGACGGGCTCTCAGCCTGGGGCCTGAGTCAGCTCCCCTAGCCCTCTGTTCCTCCAGACACATGTGGGGGCTGTGACATCATGTGGTTTTGCTTAGGCCATCTGTCCCCTACCCTTCCTCGCCTCTCGGCCTGCTCATGAAGAGCTCTGCAGTGGGGCCTGAGAGGTCCCTGAAAGGGGCAGGGGCGGGACCCAGCCTGGCCGCGGAGTCCAGGGAGGCTGATAAGGCACTGCTGGAGGGAGGAGCTGCTCCGAGGCCGCTCAGTCCTGTTCCCTCTTCCAGAACCTGGTTTTGTTATAATGGGGGCAGTGTCAGGCAGAACGAGTCACGGCCACTTACAAATGGCCCTGGAAACCCGTGGGCACTCTGGCTAGACTCCTGGGCAGTCCTGCTCCGGGGCACTGTGTGTGTGTGTGTGTGTGTGTGTGAGTGTGTGTGTGAGTGATTCCTCATTCCTCTCACCTCTCTGCTGGGCTGCCCAGGGTAGCCGAGGGCAGAAAGCTCCTCATTATGGACCTAGTTGGACTAAGTTCTTCTGTTCCATATTGTGGAAAACTACTTCCGGATTCATCACCTCATAAACACCAAACCCTGATACATGAGGACAGCACTGAGGGACGCCACCATCCTCCCACCGGCCTCCCTCTCTGTGGGTGATGAACTGGAGCACTCACATGTCTCCTAGCAGCTCACCAGCTAGGACAGGACGTCAGGTTTGAAGTGGACATCTGGGGCCACTCCTCACAGGGTGGTGATCTCTCCTGGGCAGAGGGGGTGGTGGGAGTTGAGTCATTCCTTGTGCCCCCGTTTATAGCTGCTGTGAACCACCCATCCAGGGCACAAAGGAGACAGCAAGCATACTCCACACCTGCCCCGTTACTCAGAGAAGTGCACGGCTTCCTCTTCCACCTTTAGGAGAAGCAGATGCTGTGGACAAGCTGCCCTATGTGCCCTCTCCACGGCTGTGGACAGCAGTGTGACACGGCAGTTTACTCCTCTGTGTCCAGCGTAGAAGATGTGAATTCTGCCATGTGCCCTCCTGTGTCTCCAGCCCCAGCAATACTGGATGTTCTTGGTCATTTGTTGACATCAAACTGAGGCTCTGGACATTTGTTCAAAGTTCAGTCTTTCAAATGCAAACCTCAGTGCTTTTGAGGTCACAGACTGAGTTCCAGGCAGGAGCTGACAGTGTGGACTGGAGGACTCACTTGATAAATCTACCGCATGCTCAGGAATGAGGACCGCGGAGGCCTTGGAGACAGGAGGAATTGTTTTTCATTTCCATTAGAACACCGGACTTTTAAGGACATCATGTCCCAGGGGATTTTTCAGGAGTCACCTAAAAATAATTACAAACTGAACTTTAGAATAGCTTTTGCACTATAGCATCATTTTCCAAACTCAGAGGATGACTTTTAATTAAGCTAACCTACTTGGAGGTTTCAATTATTGAGGTGGTAATGGATAAAATATTCATTTTGATTCTAATATTTTCTGCCTTTTCATATGATACAAGGTATAATGATTTTGAAGTATTTAGAAATGAGAACTCGAATTACTTCTGCTGTAGTAACTATTTTTTTTTGAACCCCTCAGAGGGTTTTTAATGCCCTGAGTCTACAAACTTCTAGGATTTCAGTTACAAAGCATTAAAGAACTGCATAGGGCATATTCAAAGTTTCTTTCCAGCTGCAAGAACTTTGATTTTGCAAAGTCTCTCTCATGAAGAAGGAAGAAGAACTGCACATGTCCTGGGACCCCTGGAAGTGCATCTGCCAGCGTAGTTGCCTGAGGGAAACTAGATGTTGAGAAACAATGAATCCCGAGGCCTTATTAAATCACTTTTCAACCAAGAGTCTCCCTAAAGATTAGCTTTCACCATTATAGCTCTTCAGGAACAGAAACAGGTCTTTAAAAGTGCTCCCATTTCCTTTATCTGTTGTCTGTATATGAAGTGTTAAAAGTGGAAGACACATTTTCTAAAGTGAAATTTCTCTGTCTCCCCGCTGCCCCATCTTGCTCCAGCTGGGGCGGGTTCTGCGGAGCCCTTTCATGAAGTTTGTGGCACACGCGGCCTCCTTCATCATCTTCCTGGGCCTGCTGGTGTTCAACGCCTCCGACAGGTTTGAAGGCATCGCCACACTGCCCAACATCACAGTCACTGACTACCCCAAACAGATCTTCAGGGTGAAGACCACTCAGTTCACGTGGACAGAGATGCTGATCATGGTCTGGGTTCTCGGTAAGGCTTTGATTTCAAGTACCCTAACTTTTACCAAAAACTAGTTGTCTAAATGATTGTCAGTTTCTGCTAAAGCTGCTATGCCTTCCCTGGTAAGGACGTCACCGGTGTCAGGTGAGCTAAGTAACAAAATAATTGAATAATTTGGTACATGCCTATAAAAGTTATGCCTTAACTTATTCTAAGTTTTTATGATTAACTTGACCTGATTACAAGTTTACCATGTTTCAGAAATCTAACTTCAATGATTGAACACAACTAAGTTTTTAAATGTAACTCACTGGTTGTGATCAGTCATTCAATTGAAATGCTTATGAAATAAACCAGCAGCTATTAACTGAGGACTAAAGAACCTTTATGTTGCATTTGAGAGATTTTTAGGAGTTTCCATTTTCAGGATGTTTGTTACTTTGCTTTGCAGTAACCAATTTTGAGTACCTGTGTTAAAGTGAAAACTTAAACGATGTGAGAAAAATTCTGTTGCATTTTAATAAGTGCATGTTGGAACAGGTTGGTCCACTGATCACTGATCCAAAGTCATCTCTGTCTGTTTTCTCTCTTCCGTCCTGTGTGTTTCTTGGTGTCTTCTCCTTCCCTGAGTTGATGGGCTTCTTATCCCTTTCACTGGCTCCTGGTCTCAACCTGGGCCAAGTATTCATCTTATGAACTTTGTTTTGGTAAACTCCCCGGTTACTGTGCCCTCTCACAGGGCCATCTTGTGCCCTTCTCCCCTCGAGGCACTTTCTGCCTTCAGTTTCGTCCTAAGTGGGCGCCTTTCTCGGGGGTTTGTCTTGTCCTGGGATGCTCCTGGCCTCCCCAGCATGGGGCGAGCAGGAGTGGGGAGGGGACAGTCCAGCTTCCTGGGTGGCTGGGGAGCCCGTCATTAGGATTCCAGGTGACTGTCTCCTGCGGGGGCTCGTTTCCCCAGTCACCATGGCTTGATGGTCAGCCACTTGGATTTTTGTAGGGACACCTCTTCTTCTGTCCTCCACGAGTCTCACAGGGAAGCTCCTCTGACCTGCCTGCCTCCTTCCTCCTCTCTGCACCTGCCACAGGTCCCCGTCTGGGTGGCCACGTGGAGAGCCCTGTCTCTGGCTCGGCGGGGTGTGTCCCTCCCGAGGGAAGCCCTTCCCCCCAGGGTGGGCCTGGGTCAGCCGGCGCCTGGTGGCAGCGTCCCAGCTGAGCTGTGCTCTCATGCGCACCTCGCTTCCCACCCAGGGATGATGTGGTCTGAGTGTAAGGAGCTGTGGCTGGAAGGGCCCAGGGAGTACATCCTGCAGCTGTGGAATGTGCTCGACTTTGGGATGCTCTCCATCTTCATCGCCGCCTTCACGGCCAGGTTCCTGGCTTTCCTTCAGGCAACAAAAGCACAGCAGTACGTGGACAGCTATGTCCAAGAGAGTGACCTCAGCGAAGTGACGCTGCCGCCCGAGATACAGTACTTCACCTACGGTGAGTGGCTCGCTGCGGGAGGAAATGCCAATCAGGAGTACGGTACCCCCCTCCATCCAAGGCGGGTATGTCCCAAGGCCCCCAGTGGGTTCCTGAAACTGCTCAGGTCCATATATATATATTGTTTCTTCCCACACATAAATATGTACATATGGTAGATTTAATAAGTAAGTTAGGCACAATGAGATTAATGACAGTCATAATAAAATGGAAGAATTATAATAATATATGATAATACAGTTGCTAGCATTGTTTCTCTTTCTTTGGGCATATTATTGAATAAAATGAGGGTTTCTTGAACAATGAACACTGCAATACAGTGACAGTGGGTCTGATCACCTAGATGGCTCCTAAGTCACTGATGGGCAGGTAGCTTATACCACACGGACACACTGGTATTCATGTCCTATGGGAGTCAGAATTGGTCTGCACAGATCGAGCGGGCAGAATGCTGTGCCATATAACACTCAAACATGGTTTATTTGTGGAAACTTCCACTTAAAATTTTCAGGTCACAGTTGACCATGAGTAACTGAAACCACATAAGCCCCCCCTTAAATAATGGACCACTACCATGTGTTAGTGTGAAAGGTGTGTTGCACATTTGTGCACAGTGGACACAGCATGAGCCTTGAAGTCTATGAAGCCAGATCCTCAGGGCCCAGAGTCCCTGAGGCTGTGGGTTCAATAGACAATGGAAGTCTAAACTGCTTTAAGAGCAACATGAAAAAGACGTAAGCTGAGGTGCCGGGGCGCTGAGGCCAAGAGAACTGCAGCTGCGGAGACAGCAGACACACGTGGCACAGAGTGGGGCTCTTGCCGGACTTCTCTGTCACCAAGAGCAGGGGCCCCCGTGGACATCCAGGTGAAAGGCGGCGGATGCCCTCTTGCCCAGCACAGACCTGTCAGGTGCTGTTTGCTCCCTTCCCTGAGCTGCGGTGGTGATTTTCACCTATGTGTATAAATCTAAGCCCTGCAGAGCCGGAAGCTCAGGCGTGGAGCGTGTGTTCTGCCTGGAGGATGACTGTAGAGGCAGTCAGGGTTCCCTGGGGGGCGAGTCCAGGTTGGAAGGCTGGGCTCCTGCTCTCACGTGCGAGGTCTCGCAAGGTGTGGAACTGAAGCATGGTGTCTCCTACTGTCAGCAAGGATTTTCACCCAGCAAGGACACTGGTTCAAACGAGCCAAGGATCACCATTTGCACTTAAGAATTAGTCTTTATTTGTGTGTTATCTATGTCTTGACTGTTTCCATAACTTATGTGTCTTGAGTTTATCTGTGTCTATTTAATGGCTGTTGTCTCAACGGGACTTTGTGACTGCTGGCGTTCCCACCTCCTGGACAAATGATTCTGATCATGGTTTTGACTTTCCAAGTCTTGGCTTCTGCATCTCCAAGAGGTCAGCATTTGCCACATGCTCACGGGGCAGCACGTGACAGTGACGTGCTGGGAGTGTTCAGTGAATGTTAACGTTTCTTATTGCAATGTCCACAGTGTGTCCATGCTTTTGGAAATGACCCAGTTCACACGAAATCAACCACACAGCTCTTCACTGACCTGCCGGGGAAATGGATCTACTGCAGACTCAGTGACCTGGAAGGGCTCATTAGGCTCTTGTTGTGAATCTGCATCCCCAATCTTTACCCTTCCTGGCCCTTTACGTCCTCTAGAAACAAGTCAGCTTGCTTGGCCGTCACCTGGCAGCACTACTGTGGCCCAGTGACACTCTCTCTCAATGCTGTCTGAGATTTCACTTGCATAAACTGATAGACGAACTAATTTCCCACCAAACGTGGGAAAGAAGTTTAACTTTGGGCTGGGACAATAGCTCAGTGGCAGAGCGCTTGCCTTGCACAGGTGAGGCACTGGGTTCGAGCCTCAGCACCACATAAAAATAAGTAAAATAAAGATATTGTGTCCATCTACAACTAAAGATATTTTTTAAACAGTTTTACTCCAGCTATGCCCATTGGACACCAGAAGAGCTGGTTAATAAGTCTAACGATGAGGGGACAGGCTGGTGGGTTGTTGTGTCATCCTGGACACGTCGGTGTCTGTGAAGTGCTCTAACCTCTTTATCTCTTATTCTTTTTCGGATCCATGTGTTGTCAGTTTAGTGTCTTTACACTGGTCTTTTCTCCACTGAAAGTAATATAGAAATTTTGTTTCTTGATTAACGTAAGAATGGCACTGGACAGTTAACTAAATGGCCGAGAGCAGAGCCAGCTACCTACAGGACAGACCCTACTGGTGCGCTCCATTGTTCATCTCTCTCTCTTTTCTAGCTAGAGATAAATGGCTGCCTTCTGACCCGCAGATCATCTCCGAAGGCCTGTATGCCATCGCTGTTGTGCTCAGCTTCTCTCGCATCGCCTACATCCTCCCTGCCAACGAGAGCTTCGGCCCCTTGCAGATCTCTCTTGGAAGGACGGTGAAGGACATATTCAAGTTCATGGTCCTCTTCATCATGGTGTTTCTGGCCTTCATGATTGGCATGTTCATACTGTACTCTTACTACCTGGGGGCCAAAGTCAACGCTGCTTTCACCACGTAAGTCGAGCATGAAGAGGACTTCCAGCAGGTCTAGACGAAGCAGAAGAAAAATTTCAATTACCGTAGTGAAGGTGTTTTTAAGAGCAGAAAAAAATCCATGGAAAACAGTCAGTTCCTGCGTATGATTATGTTGCTCCACAGCTTCATCTCTTTTACCTTAGTGAACATTTAGCCACAGAATCAATCAGGATTCGGAAAAAATCCTGGACAAAATCTGCTATTTTAAGAGAATGGAGTATGGGATTGCTAATCCTGGATGTCTCTTTCATTATGCATAACGTTAGATTTAGGCCTGTCCCTTTGTAGCTAGTACTACTCTTCTGAAACAGAAGCACTGGTTTGTTTCAATGAGTCGTTGACAGTGCAGGGAGGAGGGTGAGAGGAAGGGCGTGTCCTGGGGCCCACTGGAGTGGTGAGGCCACTTCCTGCCCAGGGTCACACTGGTTCCTGCACTGTGACTGTCTCCCCGGGAGCCGTCCTTGACCCTGCTGAGTCTCACTACCCCTGTGGGCCTCGGGGTGGAGGTACCCAGACTGTGGGACCTTCTCGCCCCTGGGTGTTTGGTTGTCACAGCGATGGCCTCCCCTGTATCTTGGTCCCTGTCGTGAGGAGATCATGCTCCCTCCTGCCTTTCCTTGGTGCCCTGTGAAGCCACAGCTGGGAACCAGCTTCACTCTTGTTCAGCAAGTTCCCCGTAGACGAAAATAGCCTACCAAGGCCTTGCGGACATCTGAATGGTTCTGAACTAGTGTTACCCATAGTTAACAGAGAGCAGTCAGAAGGTGAGAGAGACTGAAATTCACTTTATTGTAATAAAGAAAAAAATCAGCTTGAACCTGCTGGGGAAAGCACAGAGGTACACAACACCACCCCTTTCCCTCCCCCTCTTTAAATACTATTCCCATTAATTGTTTTCCGGAAAAAGAACTTGCTTTAGAACCTTTCTTTGTAATGGAATTTTACATAACTGTTCAAGGATGATTTATTTAGTCCTCGGATCAGGGATCACAAGTCAGTCACATGTTAAAAACAGCCATGTGCGTTTTGCCAAAGTGGCTGAGGAACGCCAGAGGGGGACTGGTGTGGGAGAGCCAGGTGCTGGTTGTCCTGAAGGAGGAATCGGGAAGTCCTGTGATCAGGAGAGACACGAGGCCCCCTTGTTCCCGCTGCCCCGCTTCATGTCCAGCGAAGGGTGGCTTCTGGGGAGGTGACGCTGTTGGCTTTCAGGATCTGTGGGCTCCTTGTAAGTTCAGCGAGCCCTGGGTCACGAGTGGCCTGACAACACCATGTCCTTGCTGAACCCACACAGCTGTTTTTCCTTGTCCTTGTTCCCTACACGGCACAGGAGAACAACTGTTACAACAACTGCATTGCAGTGTCACCATATCAAGTATTGTAAGTCACCTGGAGATGGTTTAAAGCATGCAGGAGAGGTGCATAGGTTATATGTAAACACTAAGCCTTCTTTAAGGGACTGAGCACCCACAGACGTCCATATTCCCAGGGAGTCCTAGAACCCAGCCCCAACAGATACCCAGCGGTGACTGACTGTATGTTCTTGTGACAAAAAATTCAGAGAGGTGTCTACGATGACAGGCTGGTCCCCCCCCACCCTTGGCCCTCAGTCTGCTAGTTCTCCCTGGTTCCAGAAATGCCCGTGTCTTTGGGACACTTTGGGTTTTTTTTTTTTCATAAAGTAGAATGTAAGTATCTGTGTTCCCCTTGTCACTCAATGATAGAGGTTTTCACCGTGGCTGTCTTGTTTCTTACTTAACCCTCCTCTGGCATCGCTGATGTGAACACGTGGAGACAGGTCTGTCCCACTTCCCCCCGTGGTTGCATGGCCTTCCGGGTTTGGATGCTCCAGAATCATTCAGCCTGTTCCTTGCATATCTAGCTTGCTTTTATTCTAAAAGCAAATCATTTCATAGCAAATGATGCAGCAAGGAATATGTTCATACACTTTTTTAAAGTAGATTCATAATTTTAATTTCTGTTCTACTCCAGGAAAACTGACTCAAATACCTAAACCGTCTACCAAATCAAACTTCAAACTCTCATCCTCCCAGGAGAAAGGAATGGGCGTTGTAATATGGCTTCAGCTTTCTCCTGCTGAGCACAGACAACTTTCCCTGGAAGGTCCTTCAGAAAAGCTCCGTTGGCCATTTAATCACCAGTCCTGAAAACCTGAGAGGGGGATTTCCATTAACTATCTTCAAATTGTTAGAAGTAGTTGCTAATGTTTGTTCTGATTGCATTTTACATCTGTATGGTGTTCAGCCCTAACTTGTCTTTACTCCTGAATAATTAATGCTTAGAATCGTTAATTAATTACTGTGTGTCTTTTTTCTCCACAGTGTAGAAGAAAGTTTCAAGACTTTGTTTTGGTCGATATTTGGGTTGTCTGAAGTGACTTCCGTTGTGCTCAAATACGACCACAAATTCATAGAGAATATTGGATATGTCCTTTACGGGATATACAATGTAACTATGGTGGTGGTTCTACTCAACATGCTCATTGCTATGATCAATAGCTCCTATCAAGAAATTGAGGTAAGCCCACTGTGTCCCCAGCATCTGCCCTTCCCATCCCACTCTGACGGCATGCGACATCTGTTTCAGTGCCTTGTGGTCACAAAGAGGCTCCTATCCGTGCAGAGAGCCTGCTCTCAGCTGTGTCTCCCCCTGAGCAGGTAGTCACACCGGTCCAGTTCTTCTAGGAGCCCAGATCCCAGGAGGTCCCTCCCACTCCACCTCTCTCAGGGTGTCTCAGAAGTCTTGAAACCACTGACCACGCACATGCACTGCCATAGGGAGACACATTTTGTCTCCTGGGTTAGCCAGTCAGTGTCCTTCCTGGTGGAAGAATTGCTAGATGCCTGCAAACACAGATGGCAGACTTTCTCTGGTCAGAATTTCTAGTATCTGGAAACTGCTCTGCCTCGGATCTCTGGTTGGGCTTGGGGTGGTAGCATCTTCTTCACTGAATGTACTTTCCTCCATCCCCCAGTTTTGTGATCAGTATCTTCCTAGTGCCTAGCTGTTTCTCAGCTCTACCAAAGCTCCAAGTGTGTTTAGAGCCTCGTGATATAGTGTCCCCAACGCAGAGGTTAGCTCCTCCAGAAGTGAAAACTCAGAGCGCTGAACACCTACCTATGTGGGTGCGTTCGTGCCTGTCTGGGCTGTGTGACCTGAGCGACCCAGCCTCCTCCACCTGGGCCCCCTCTTCCTTTCCCCTATTGGAATGGTCATGCCCATCACCATGGGGTGGCCCTGGGGAGAGGAGTAGATGGAGACTGGTCCAGGCTCCTGGGGAACTACATGACATTTGAGGGCATGTGACAGAAACATAATCTCCCCAAATCTGTTGTTCTAAATTCTCATTTTCCTTTTGCCCTTGGAGTATAATATGTCACGCGTATAACCTGACTTGAGTGGGTGTGGGGAGGGGAGAGTGAGGTAGAGAGCAAAAAACTAACTTTGAACATGCAGAATTGGTGGGGCAAAGAATGCGGGGAGGGAGTTAACACTTTTGTCCTTTCTTGCCTCTAATTTTTCTGATCTTTTTGTCTTATCTTGTGAGGAATAGGAAATTCTGGTTATATTTTATTGGATATAGACAAAGGAATATGGAAAATAAAAAGTTTAAATGGTGTCATAGAAGTGATCCTCAGTTTATCCCATAGCATATAGAGATCATATGCAGAAAATTATGTATAAGTTCCTTACCTATTTAAAAAATCATTTATATTCATTGCTAGAATTTACATTGTTACTGGAATATTTAGTTTAAAAATTTAGTAGCTAATTTCAAATCAGTAATTTCTATTTTGCAACACAGGATGACAGTGACGTAGAATGGAAATTTGCTCGTTCCAAACTTTGGCTCTCCTATTTTGATGATGGGAAAACCTTGCCCCCACCCTTCAGCCTGGTTCCTAGTCCAAAATCATTTGTGTATCTCATCATGCGGATCATCAACTTCTCCAAATGTAGAAGGAGAAGGCTACAGAAGGATCCAGAAATGGGAATGGGTAACTCAAAGTCCAGGGTAGGTGTCGACAACTTACCAAGACCTTAAAATCCATGTTTTGTCTCTTTCTCCTTGTCTTTCGATGTGTAATTCTTATGTGTGGTGCAATGATTTTTATGTGTGAACCTAGAAGACCTTGAAAGTGGCCGTGCATCCCACCAGCTGCCATAGACAAGGGCTTGATGTCTGCATAATGTTTCAAGAGCCACTTGTCTATGCCCTGGGCAGTCAGAACTTCCTGGGAACCACCAGATTAAAAACAGACAAGACTCCCTTGAACTGTTAAACGTAAACAGAAACCTTGTTGTTAGGAAGCACTTTGTTTTGGTGTGTTCCATGTTCTCCGCTGTGATTCTGAAGTTAAATAATTTTAGCCTCAGATCATCCTCTTCCTGTTCATAGACTGAGCATGGCTAGACTGGGCTAAGTAACTTTTTTTCCTTTAGTATCATAAAACCGAGAGTTATTTGAGAGCTCCTCAAATAACTCCAAGCGCCCCTTTTATAATAGCAAGAATGGTCTGCCCCTACATTGTCCCAGTTGAGTCAGACTTTAATTTTAACAAACGTTTCATGATGGCACTTTATGAGCGTGAATTTAATTTTCAAAGATAAGCTTGGTATAGGAGACAGAAAAATACGGGAAAAATTCAAATAACAGTGAAGGAGGAAGATAGGAGAAAATGTACAGGCTTAATATACAATTTTTGTCTAAAATTGTGAAAATGGCCTGTAGCTGTAGCAATCTAGAAGCCCACAGGATTTTAGGTTAATTCTCTAAAATACAGGCCTTCCTGAGCAGAGGTGGGTACTTTTTCTCAGTTGAAGCTGGGGAAAAGAGGATTAATGCAATTTAATTTCTCGCTTTTTAAGATAGAGGTGAGTTTGCAAGATTTGTTACAACCCTAGAATCTTATTCTTTAAGAATGCAATCTTTTAATCCTCTCTGACCTGCATGTGAGCTCTGACAGCTGTTAGGTTGCAAGGGAATGAGGGTTATGGCATGCCAAGATTTAAAACAGAACCTCGTAAGCACACAGCGAGAAGCATTACAGTGCAAGGAAGACAGCCCTGCTGCTGGACTTGGGCTTGAATCTTGGCTCTTAGGAGTCAGAACAGGTCAAACCACGTGGCCACTTGAGCTTTAATCGCTTCCCCTGAAAGAGGAAGCTTCTGGAGGGTTGTGGTGAGGACTATGAGATGTGCAAAGTTCCAGCCTCGACATATATCAGGGCCCTTCCCTATTCACAGTTTACAAAGTGCTTTGCAGTACGTCTGAACCTCAGTTAGTGCTGCAAGGTGCGTATCCGTTATTCCATTTTATAAGTAAGACAACTACGCCCTTCAAATTCCTCCCCTACAACTGGGCTGGCCGTGCGGGCAGGCCTGGGGTCTAGCTCTCTGCTGCACCTGGCTGCCTCTGTGCTCAGCAGCCCAGTCCAGGCTGTGGCCTCCCCTCTCCCTCCCTGAGCTGTACTTCAGCTGTGGGGCAGCAGGTCTCCTAAAGGGGCCGGGTTGGAACTGTCGTCCTGGGTGGCTCCTGCTGCAACTGCTGAAACTGACTTTGCTTTGAAAGACTGAAGTATATAAAAGGAGTGTCTCAGGTGCGGAGTTTGCAACCCTAGCACCTCGTAGAACACACCTTAGTTTATTCTTTCTTTCTGTAGGCAGCTGAGTCCACCGACCTCTTTCCTGACCCGGTCCTAAAGTAGAAAGGGGAACTCAGGTTGAGAAGAGCACACCCAGGCCGTGGCTGCCTGGACCCCTCTAGAGGAAACTAGCTTCTCCCAGGAGTGAGGGGAGCCTTTATGTAGGACACTGAGGGTGTCCCCTTAGGTCACCTGCTCCGGCCTGTGTGTGCCACGGGCGGGAAAGGTGCTGATGGCAGAAGATGGGCTGGCCTCTCATCTCTGGGGAGGCAAGACCCTCCGCTTCCTAGGCCTCCCACATCTGGCTTAAGTGGTCGTTGTGATTCTAAGTTGCGCATAGGCCTGTTCAGATGCTTTCACCTTCTGCACAGTCACAGACCCTCGTGTATGCTGAACTTAGTAAAAATTTGGAGAATTCCATTTCCTGTTGTTCTTTTTGGACGAGGGAGGCCCTGGAGCAGCCTTTCCGGCTCACCTGTCTGGCTGACCTTGGTTGGTAGGCAGACACTGACCTCCAGTGGCCAACAGGAGAATTAACTCTGCTAGATGAGGTTTTTCCCTGGCACTGCAGACCTACAGGAAGGGTCCGCGCCACCTCCACTCCCCCGCATCCCTCACCTCCCGCATTGAGATGGTGGTTCTCGGGTCCTGGGGCATATATGCCTTTTTGGAGGGGGGGGGGGCTGCTTTTGAACCACACCTACCAGGGGGCAGTGTGCCCATGAGTAATAGGTCACACGGGAGTGGATGTGCCTCTGTGCCCCTCCTGCTCTCATTCCTGCCCAAAGTCTAGACCTTAAGAAGAGAAGCAGTGGAGGGAAAGAAAACCAAGATTCTTTAGCCCAATTCTCTCCCAAGTGTGATCCCAGCTCTTGTACGGCCCTGAGAAGATGCATTACTGTGACTTCTATTTTAAGGCTATGGGATCCCACAGTGCTACACAGTAGTGTGCCCTGTGCAGGCCCAGCAGCCGACTGAACTGCTTCCCTGGAACTGCGCTTCCAGGAGCCAAGTGCACATCTTGATCAAGACCAGGTCCCAGGGAAAATTGTGCCCAGTAGGAGCCAACTTTTAAAAAACGTGTTCTCAACCAGCAGTTCTGTTCCGCCCATCTTGCCAACACTTGGACCAGTGTGAGCACGCGTCCCCCCTTAGAGCTTGCCTTTGGAATTAGATGAAGTCACGTAGAAAACTCACCCTCCACAAGGTGTTCCTCAGAAATGTTACCAAGGAGAATAGGAGAGACTGTACTTCTGATTCCAAATGAATGTATTCTAATTTACTAGGTTAATTGTATTTTTTCCTAGTTAAACCTCTTCACTCAGTCTAACTCAAGAGTTTTTGAATCACACAGTTTTAACAGCATTCTCAACCAGCCAACACGTTATCAGGTAAGAACTCCTTAGACATCTCTCTTTATCTGTGTGTGATTCTGTGTGTCTGTGTGTGTGTGTGTATAGCGAGTGGCGCTATGAGACAGGAACAGAGAAGATAAGAAAAGAACACTAGTTGGAGGGGACTTTAGAAATCAGTCCAACTGCTCCTCCCCCTTCCCCTCCCTCTCCCCCTCCTTCTCCCCCTCCCCTTTTTTTGGCTGAGAAAGAAGAGTTCTTTTCTCAATATTGAAAGCAAAATGTTGCTATGATTTCCAAAGCATGTCGCATAAGCCTTGAACTGGACAAAGAAATGGGAGTTATGGTGTATTAGATAAATACCTCTCTCGCAGTTTGAAAACCAGACTGTTTCTCCAGGCTTTTCTCCAGGGCAACCCATCTTCCAAGTGACTGTGGTCAGGCTGTGCTCTTTCAATGGCACTGCTTTAAAATACCTACAGACGCAGGCCTGTAATCCCAGCAGCTCAGGAGTCTGAGGCAGGAGGAGCGTGACTTCAAGGACAGCCTCAGCAACTTAGTGAGGCCCTAAAGCAACTGAGTGAGACCCTGTCTCTAAATAAAAATAAAAGGGGTTGGGGGTGTGGCTCAATGGTTAATCACCCCTGAGTTCAATCTCCAGTACCAAAATAAATAAACAAACAAACAAACACAACACCCTTTGCATTTGCTGTTGGCTGTGACCCTTGAATTCTGTTCCTCAGCTGGCCTCATTTTGAGTCTTTGGATTCTGGTGTGCGCGGGTGTCTTGAGGACCAAGGAAGTGATGGTGTCAGGTGATGCTGGGAGAGTGACACACCCACCTTCACACAGCTTTCCTGGAGGAGGGGACTCTGCAGAACTGATTGGCTCACTGATTACCAAAGCCATTCTTTGGATGGTTACATTACGTCCCATATGGTGTGCTTGTTTATCCCATCCAGCTCCTACTGAGAGAGAGGGCATTGCCAGTGTTTAACAGTTATAAGTAATACCGCCATAAACAACCTCGTGTACTTGACATTTCAAACGTGCAAATGTGTAGAATTTTCTGGTTAAGTATCTGTGTATTTAAATTTTTTAGTCGTTATCAAGCTGATTTTGATGGAGCTTGTAACATTTACACTTATAATACACGTATGAGAGTATCTGTTTCCTTCCTAAGTCAAACAGTGTTTTGCGAGGGCTTTGGGTCTTAGCCTATGAGAATGGCTTCTGTGCGTGAACTGGACCTTAACTTTGAATGAACTTGACCTTAATTTTATGTTTAGTGTTCTATATTCTTAGGACCCAATGTCTACCTGCTTTTCTTGATGGCTTTTGGTGTAAGTTAAGAGGAATTCTTAATATTTTAAGATATGAGCTGTTGTGTTATGAGTTGGGAAGTTTTTTTGCCAGTTTGTTGTGTATCGATATTCACAAATGTTACTTCTTATTTCCGCAGTCACCTTCCCAAGTCTATTAGGTCGGAGATTCGTGCAGTCTTTGAAAAGATCTTCTCCCATCTGAGATCACTTAATAAGCTTTCTACCCATCCATATTTCTTAAATTCTGTCATGTTTTATGTGAAAATATTCAACCATGTAGAATATATTTTAGCATAATATGTGGGGTGGGGATCCAAATTCATTTTTTCTTCCAGATGATTACATAGCTCAGTGTGTTTGAATAATATTTCTTTTATACTGATTTGAAATCCTGCTTTTATTGCTAAATTCTGGTATCTATTTGTATTTATTTCTAGTTTTTCCATTCTGTCTATTCATGCAATTTAACCGTATTATTTTAATTCTTGTAGTTTAAAACAAAATCAAACAAATGAACCCCCATTTTTTGCTATTCTTTCTTTTTCCTCCCCTCTCTCTTTCTTTCTCCCTGTCCTGTTTGAATTTTGGAGTTGATTTGTCTACTTTACAAACAGCCTGGTGGTATTTTTACTGAGATTAATGTTTACTTAAGGAGAATTGGCACTGTGTCGGGTACTGGGGGTTGAGCCTGGGTGCTCACCCCTGGGCCCCACCCCAGCCCTTTGTGCTCTGTTTGGAGACTCGATCTTGCAGGCTGCTGAGCCTGGTCTTGCTGCCTCAGCCTCCGAGTGGCTGGGATCACAGGTGTGGGCATTGCATACAGCAGGGACTGGCACCTTATGAAGTCCTCATTTCCTTTGAAGAACACGGTGACTTTCCACTGGTTTAGGTCTTCTTTGGTCTCTTTGGAGTCCTGTAAGTAGTTGTCTTTGTTCATATTAATAAGGATTAATGTGGTACCATTCACACAGAACCACCAAACACCAACCACTAAAGGGCTAAAAGAAAATGGACATTTAATTCTCTTTTCTTTTCAAGAATTTGGGGTGGGGGGTGGCTGGGGAGACAGCTCGGTGGTAAAGCACTTGCCTAGCATGCATGAGGCCCTGTGTTCAATCCCCATCATCACATTAAAAAAAATAACAACAACAACAAAAAGAATTCAGGAGGTGGTCATTCTTTTCTTCTATCTTCTTGGGTTCAGTACCTGAGGTTTGCAAGTTAAACTGTCAAAAGGCAGACTAATAATAGTGAGAATAAAACACCCTGTGATGGGTGGCTAGGATTTAGAGCTTGCATATATCTTGCCAAGTGCAATAAATTTGTTGAGAAGTGAAAGATGAAGAAAATAGAGTTGGAGAATCTAATGGAAGACAGGGTTGTCTTCCCAAGGTTGGCTTGTGCAGACCCGTCTGTCCCCAGGCATGACAGATTTGAAATCCTGGCCTGGGAGAGAGGAGGGGGAATCTTTCTCAGAAGAAAATTTAAGTCCAGCTTTCAGGCAGATGGAGAGTGAAGTTGGGGGAGGGTAGGTGAGTGCCTGATGGTACTGAGCAGCAGTGAACAGAAGTTAGTGAACAAAAAAGAGTGAAAAGAGGCTCTGGCTCCCTTGGGGGGGAAGCTGTTCCACGCCCACGTCTATTCCTTCTCCCCATCTCAGTGGACGTCGGGAAGGAACCTGGTTTTGTTTGCAAGGAGAACCAGCGAGGTCTGCACCTTGCCACCCCTCAGTCTCAGCTTTGGGGATCTCTTTCCAGGCCTTCCACACCCTGGACAGAGAAAATTCATAGTCTACACGTAAAGTCACAGTGTCCTCTGGAAATGGTGACTCATAAGTGTCCACAAGAAGTCCAGGTAACTCCTGGAGGTCTGAGGAGTGAGGAAGTTAATCAACAGGCTACTATAGTTAGTAATTGGACTGAAAGAGGCAAATCCAATAAATCTGTTATTGGTCAATTTAATTTTGGGTATTGAAGGTAAAATTTTAAATGGCACTTCTACTTGTTATATGTGACTTTCCTGGTCGTTTGTAGCACTATGACTATTAAGACAAACAAGCAGCATTTGCTACACAGAAGCATAGATGACCATAAGAAACTCGGAGTCCCAGTAAGGGAGTCATTTCCTCGGGCTCTCTGCTGTACAAGATACACTGTAACATTCTCTCGGCACCGGGGTAGACACCTGTAAGTCACCACTCAGGTCTGGCAGCTCGCCTTCTTAGCTGTGGTTCAGAGGGTGAAGGGGGATCCCCTTCAGGAGCTGTTTCAACAGGGGGAGTCCCCAGGGAGGGCCTCTGCAGCTGCCCCAGACAGGCGGCCTTCCTGAGAACTCACAGGACCCCTGCGCCGTGGACCAAGGGTTTCAGTTCAACACAAGGGGCGTGCTTGCCTCCTAGAGGGGCTGGGGCTTGGTGCACGGGGGTGTTTAAGCTGGAAAAATCACAGTGGCGTTTCTGTGGGATGTGGGACCAGCTAAAAACACACCAGACATTGAAGGGGAAAGCTGTAGCCTATAGCAGGCGGAAGGTGACAGGTGACAAGGAGCTCCTTCCTTTCTTCCCCCCAGTGAGGGAAGTTGATGAGCTTTGTTCAGGCTATTTCTAGGGAACTTGAACCACACAGGAATTTCTTTTTTTAAAAACATGTCCTAATTATTTAAACATGACAGTAGAATACATTTATCCACTTTGATGTATCATCCATAAATGGAGTATGATCTCTCACTTTTCTGATGGTACATGTTGTAGAATCACATTGGTCATGCAGTCATGGATGTACATAGGAAATGATGTGTTTCCTTCTACTGCCTTTCCTACCCCACCCCCTCCCTTCCTCACTCCCTCCTACCTAAGCTAAGGTAACTCCGTCTCCCAGCCCCAGTGAGCTAGCATCCGCATATCAGAGAAAACCTTGGCCTTTGGTTTGGGGGGATTGACTTATGAGCTTAGCATGATATTCTCCAGCTCCATCCGTTTACCATAAACTTTCTATTTTCCTAACACTTTCCCTTCTGGCAGTGGGTGGAAGACGACGTAGACTTCCTACGTAGAGGGTCAGAAAACTCGCCGTAAGAATTTGAGAGAGTGTTGCATCGGGGAACGTGAGCGGCGACATCTTAGTCTTCATCCTAACTGTAGCTGACCTTCTCCAGCAGAACCTGTGCTTTTACGTGCATTGCATTGTTTCCTCTGCACAGATCCTTCTGGGCTGAGTTTTATTGCCCCGTTACAGAGATGAGGAAAGGAAGCTTAGAGATTCAGTGTCTTGAGCTCTGGGCTTGTAAATAAAGGCCTGTTTTCAAATTCAGAGACTCCTTGCTCCAAACACATTCTGCCTCCCCTTCATCTCAAGAGGTTTTACTTTTTGCAGAGGTAGGATTTACAAATAAAAGTTTTCTTAGTGGTTCATGCAGACCACCTACAGCCCTTCACTCCCAGCTCCTCTGAGCCTTCTGTGTCTACATGAAAACTGTCCACCAGGTCTGAAGGGCTCTGGCTGCTGAAGAGGCAGCGCGGCCGCCCGGGCTGGAGAGGCCCAGGAAATGCGAGGCAGCAACTATTTGTTCTAATGGTTGAAGAGTTTTTATTTTATTACATTTAAAATAGCTAATTATGGACTTTTTCATACACAGAAAAGTATTACGAGCATTCTCTTTCTGTCTGTGCTGCTGTCACCTTGACTTGACAAGTGCTTTTGCCATATTCTAAGGCAGGCATGGTGACAGTGCCTGTGGTCCCAGCCACCCTGGAGGCTGGGGTGGGAGGACCACCTGAGCACTTGAGTGGAGGCCAGCCCCAGTGGAAGAGCCATATCCCTGGCATAACAAAAGCACTCTGCCACACTCTTGGATAGTTTTTGTAAGAAATTTTTGACACAACTGAAATCCCCTGCTCTATGGCATTAGCTGCCGCCCTCCCCAGACACCCTCGTTACCTGGAAGTCACGTGTGCGCTCTGCCCAGGCACACTTTTAGATGTCTATCACCTACATAAATACATCCATAACATTATGCACTAGGTTTTTTGAAATCTGTGTGAGCATCACATACCCTTTTTCTTCACTTGTCTTCCTACTGTTGTCTGTATTGATACACATATATCACAGTTTTTATTCTAACTGCTGTGTAACGTTCCCCTACATGAAGAAACCACTTGTGTCTGTTCCTTCCTTCATTGAAGGACATTTAGCGAGCTGCTCTGCTCTGTTGTAAAGATGAGCTAAATCCACCTCACTCTTCTCTCAACTTAGATCCCTGATACGCTCACCTCCCTCAGGGAGTTGTTCTGGGTAGGTAAGAAGTCTTGCCAGAGTGGCGGCAGCCCTGTCTGTCTCTGGCACAGAGCCTGGCCCGGGGCTGGCTCTCAGTGCACACTTGCCGACCAAAGGGTGAGCGTGCCTGTGAGCCAACGGGAGCCAGGTCCAGCTCCCACACCCCCAGGGTGTTCGGCTTTGCTGTCACTGGTGAAGTGGGCGTAGCCCACAGCGTGGCTCTGCCCTGGTCTGTTGTGATTCTCTCAAGGAGGTGTTTGGAGGAACCAAGGTGACTTTGCATCAGAAGGTCCCTGATTTCCATCTCCCTGTGACTGAGTTTCAGTTCAGGCCTTTCCCCATTTCTTGTTACCTTGGAAGCGTGGTATTTGACACATGTAGCGATGCTGAGCTGCCAAGCATCACCGTGTGCATAATCAGAAACCCACTGTGTGCACACTCAGAAACCCACTGTGTGCCCACTCGGAAACCAACCAGGGAAGTCATGGGTCCACTCTGTGCTCCTGTGCATCTCCGCCCTGCCCCGCCTCCACCCCGGGGCTACCACCATCCTGGAGTTTGGTTTTCTAATCCTCTTGCTTTAGTTTTCTTTGTAAATTATAGGCTTATTAAATATGCAGACAGTCCTAAAACATAGGTTTATTTCCTATTGGCTTCGTAACAACAGTCTCATGCTCCGTGATCTGCAGCTGGACTCTCCCTTCAACGTTGTGCTTCTCGGGTTCCTCCCGCTGCCGTATGGGACTCACAGTGTGCTCCTGGGCACCGCAGTGAGCACCCACCGCAGTGAGCACCCCGTGACTGGCTTGTCTGTCTCCCGTTGCTGTTTGTTTCCCGTCACCCACGCTGGTCAGGCCAGGGCTGCGTCTGTTCTGCCTCTGGGTCCACCGTGCGGCTCCCTGGGCCCTTCCCGCTTTCTGCACGAAGGCGCGCCAGTGTCTGGCTTCAGAAGATGAGACCACATTGCTCTCAGAGTGGCTTGTCCAGGAAAGGGAGGGTCCTCGTTGATCCCCGTCTTTCCCAACACCTCTTGGCATTGCCAGATGTAATTACAAGAAAAGAGTGTGGATGCTCCGTGGGCCTGCTGGCGTCCATGTTCCCATTGCTGTGAGCGCCTGTCTGCCTTTGGCTCTTTTGAGTCTCCCTGTTGAGTCACAGCTTTTACACGTGTTTTTACATATTGGATACAAACTGTTTGTCAGTTACAAGTCCCGCCAGGATGTTCTCCGGCTCTGCGGCTTCGCCTGCCCTGTGCTCAGATCTAGAGATCTAGAGTCCTAAGGACACTTAACAATGTTTTCCATTACAGTGGGAAATTTTTATCTTTTTTGAAAGTCCAGTTCCACTTTGAAATAAATATTCCTCCTATACTTTTTTAAAGGACTTGAAGGTTTTGTCTTTCACACTTAAGATGCACTAGAATTAATTTTTGTGTTCCGGGTATGAATGAAGACTCTAGTTTTTTTCAATGTGGACAAATAATTACCCTATAAGAACCCTTACTTAGAGTGGAAAATAACAATGACATATATTGCTATGAGGGGAAAGCCTGGGATATAACATGATACCCAGGAAATGTAAAATTTCATACGTGCAATAATTATGAATATATAAAATTTAAAGAAAAGCTATTAGAAGGACATATGTGAAAATTACAACAGCGATTATCTTGGGATAGTGATATGATCAATGGTTTTGTTTATTTCTTTTGCTGTTCTCTGTATTTTCCAAATTCTTTGTATTGAGCCTGCAGTAACAGTGTGAATAAGGCAGTGTCTGTCTATGGGGATAATATAGTGTCAGTGCACCTGAAAGAGAAACCATTTCTTATTTGGAAGAGAAACCATGATTTGAAATCTTCCAACTCAGTGTTTTGTAAAGCTTCTTCCATTTCTGAGGCATAAAGACAAGTTTGTGGGTCACGCAGTGAAGTCTCAGACAGGTGCAAGGAGGGGGCGGTCTGAGGCCTGGGTACTGTGTCCCTAGTTCTGAGAACTTCTTCCAGGCATGGGAGGCCCCCCAGGAGCAGTGTCCAGGGCTGTGTGACCACTGACCACTTCTCCTTGCCCAACAGCAGATAATGAAGAGACTGATAAAGCGGTATGTCCTGAAAGCGCAAGTGGACAAGGAAAACGACGAGGTGAACGAAGGTAAGCCCCAAGGAGCCCGTCCTCCGAGATGGAGGCAAGGGAGCCTCCACAGCAGGGCGCGGCCGGGCTCCCCCAAGATCGACAGGACAGTCTCCCGTTGCCCCTCCAATATGCCACCTTCCAAGTGAACAGCATCTAGATGTTGTGCAGAGCAGTCTCCCCTCTTCAGGGTGCCCAAGATTCTTGGCCCCTGGAGATGGCCATCCACCTGACCCGGGGTCCTCCATGGTGTCTGCTCCATTTCCAGTGAGTTCACACGAGACTCGACATTTTCCAGTGATGCAGGCAGAGGAGCAATGGGGGCCCCTCAGATGGACCCCTCACTCTCCAGGAGGCCTCTGGCTTATCTGGAAACAAATCTCAAATCCATTTGCCTTGTCTGAAGTTTCTGTCGTGAACTTCACTTTGCCCACTGGCTTCTTGCCTAAGCATGTCTCCTTCTCAGGGCACATCCTGGGTACAGCCTTAGAGCTGGAGGGTGGATCCAAAGCACAGGCCTAGAGTTGGAAAAGATAAACCCGGGGGAAAAAGTTTCCTGAAAACAGAAAGTGTCCCTTCCCCCCGAGACATGCATTGGATCTGTGGACGCTGGTGAGAAAGGCTGGCCTTGGCATCGCTGGTGGGCGGTGGAGCCTTTACCTGATCCATCTGAGATCCCTGCCAATCGGAGCCAATCCAGTGGTCTATGTGTGCAGAAAAGAAATCTGTGAATATGCGACTGAGAACCAGCAACCTCGGGGTTGACCTAGACAGTGTCAGGGAGAAAGAAGTGGGATGGGTGTTTGGTTTGGAAGGCAGAAACCTGCTCGGTTGTGTCATGGCCACCCCTGGAAGACAGAACTGGAGCAAAGTGGGAGGAGCTTGACGGGCATAAGAGCTTCAGAAACGAGTAGCATTTATCAAGCGCTTGCCCAGAGGAGGAAAATCAATGAGATTGAGTTTTGGACAAAATTCTTATAAGAAAGTTGATAACAGAGCTCATGCAGGGTATTAGATGAAGTAAGTTTTCAACTAATAAATGATAAACTAAATGCAGCACTGATGTGTAGTCTCTGCGTACAAGGAAGGGTAGGGTAGGAGCAAGAAGCAGGGCGGTCCACCATGGCACCCAGTGACGTGAGGAAATTAACGTGGGCTGTAGATGTAGTTCAGGGTTAGAGCATGTGTTTAGCACGCACAAGGCCCTAGGTCTGATTCCCAGTACTACAGAAAAGCAAAAGCAAACAAAACACAAAAAGCACCAGAGTGCTCTTATTAAGTCCCTCGGAGACTGTCATCTTCAAGACATCCAGGTTTTAATTGCCATCTCCCTATGCTCAGAGCACCACCAGGCAGAATCAAGGCACAGCCTTGTTTGAATGCCGACATCCTCCTGTCCTCCCCAGAGAACAGAGTCTGCCCGTGGCCAGTGGCATGGTGTCGGAACCCCTCACCCCACCTCTGCCCCAAGCTTATTACCTTTGTCTGCCCCAATAAACAGCCCCTTCCGCCCATTCCTTTCCCCTTTCCACTCTGATTTATAATTTGCTTATTCATGGGAGCATTAGGCCCTTAGATAGAGTGATTCTTTTTAGTGAAGGTCAGTTTTGCGTGGGTTCCCCTTGATGCTGGAAATGGGAGAGATGACCAAGGGGTGTGGACCTGAGGTCTGCGGGACAGAGGGAGGCGGGCAGATGAAGAGAGCAGCTCTGTAGTCGGTTCACGAAGAAGACCCTGCATTAAAAGCTGGGGTGGAGCTTGCTCAGCATGCAGAGGCCCAGGGTTGGATCCAGCACAATAAAACAAACAGAAAATGTTGGGTTTAGCCACAGGACAGTGCTTGGGCTTCAGCCCTGCAGACATAGCTGGACTGTTTTTATAGCTTTGAGCAAAGGTCAGTGTGTTTGTGAAGACAGATATTTCTTAAACCTTGGGAGACTTTAGGAAGCAAATGTATTCAAGTCACATGAGTTTTATTTTGTTCTTTCCTAAATTCAAAGAGAATCACCAATTTTATATATATATATATTTTAATACAAATACTTACAGGTGAATTAAAAGAAATCAAGCAAGACATCTCCAGCCTTCGGTATGAGCTTTTGGAGGACAAGAGCCAAGCGACCGAGGAGCTGGCCATTCTGATCCACAAACTCAGCGAGAAGCTGAGTCCCAGCGTGCTGAGGTGTGAATGACGGCGGCTGGAGCCCCGGGGTGCACTGCAGCAGACGTGGCAATAACGCTTCTAAGTGTGAAATACTTGAAAAACTGGTGTACGTTTTTAGTAGCAACTACCTTTATTATGTGACTCTTCAAAGGTTAGGGTTAAGAATTTTGCTGTTTTATCACATGAAAACGCATTTCATTGTCTGCCTTGACATTACAAACGACAATATACCATTGTATTTAAAGGCCCAATATTACTACGTTACTGACAGTTTTGTCCATTTTAGAGTATACTCTGTTTTTGCACTACCTGTTTGCCTCCAAGAGATTGTAAACTCCTTGGAGACAGGACTATGTCTTATTCATCTTTGTGTCTCCAGCACCTAGTACAGTGCCTGGTACATAGTAGGTGCTCAATAAATGTTGAAGCCAAGTGAACTGAACTGCCAATAAAATACAAATAAAAATTCATCACTGTGTAGCATACCTTCCCATGTCCAACTGCTCAAGAGTTTGAATTTTTTAAAATAGAAATGGAAGAAATTTTATAATCAGCTATGACCTAGTGAGAACTATGACCTATTTTCTTAGAATTTTAGGCATTGCTGATAATCCCAGGACCAATGAGCCCTGAGTGAGAATTTAACAATGAGGTTGGTTAATAGAAGACACATTACAGATTTAAGTTTCATCGGATTGTCCCAAACAACACATTAAAGATTTTTCTAAAATAGATGACGTTTGCTTTCTGTTATGGACTCTGACTCATTGTTTGTGAGTAATGTGAATTTAGTCGATGGGAAGCGAGTTTTCTTCAAGTTTGGGGGCAGATGGGTTTGTTATTTGATGATGACCGTCTCATTTCTACATCCGATGCCTCGGTGCTAAATAAGATTCCAACACCTAACTTTGTGTCTTGCCCACTTGTTGCATTCCGGGCTTTGGCGGTCAGCTGATGGGAAGGGGTGGGAGCCTGCCTGGAAAGACAGTGCCAGGCACCACGCGGTGGCCTCCCGGGGGCAGCTCTGTTGTCATTTGCATCTCCCATGATTGACGTCCTTTTCTTATGAAAGGACTTCAGTTCTTCCTACCTGACCTAGATTGTGATGGACCTTGCTGGACGTCCTGCACAGCTGAGCTGAATGCTGGTAATGTCCACCGTGCACGTGACTCTGATAGGAAAGGGGATGTCAGCCGTGGGCTCTGTGGTCTCTTCACAGACTGCAAAACACTCAGGATTTTTGTCACCAGCTGGTTTAAATCTCCGATAGAGTTACTTCAGCACCCTGAGTCTCCTCACCCGGATGCTCTCAAGCTTCTCGGGGACACCAGTTGTGATCACAGCTCAGAGAGTTTGACACCTGATGCTCTCCTCATCCCTGTCACCCAGGAGGGCTGTCTAGAGACCAAGTCAGCATTCAGGGCTGGGGTGTGACTCAGTGGTACAGTGCTTGCCTGGCATGCAGGAGGCCCTGGGTTCAGCACCTAGCACTGCCAATAAATAAATAAATAAATGAGACCACATAAAGCTCTTTAAAGACTGCTTCTCTGCTTCATAATTTCTACGTGGGGGAGTTAAGAAAAGGACCTTGTATATTTTTGCTACCTTTGTAGACTATTTCATTAACTTTTGTTTTATGCTAATAGCATAATAGTATTTGTATGCTATTAATATTTTATGCTAATTTATGCTAATAGTACTTGTCTTAAACATTTTTCCATTTTAGAATAAAAATTTTAAAAAGCAAAAAAAATTGAAAATATTTTCAAAAATTTTTTTTTAAAGAGAGAGAGAGAGGGAGGGATTTTTTTTTAGTATTTATTTTTTTAGTTATCGGCAGACACAACATCTTTGTTTGTATGTGGTGCTGAGGATCAAACCCGGGCTGCACGCATGCCAGGCAAGCACGCTACCACTTAAGCCACATTCCCAGCCCTATTTTCAAATTTTATGTATTTTATGTCACTCCTCAGAACTGAATGAAATAGTGGATTTTTCCATTGCTGTATGTTACCGTGAATTAAAGCAGCAGTGATATGTAGTTTCTACAAGAGATACTTCAGTGTTTCCGTATTGTCTAGGATCCCAAGGTGGAGGCTTTGCTTATGGCGTACTCAGTTGTGTTCCTAACTGAGCTTTGAAAAACAGCTGAATGAGGGGCTGAGGATGGGGCTCAAGTGGTAGCGTGCTCGCCTGGCATGTCTGGGGCGCTGGGTTCGATCCTCAGCACCACATAAAAATAAAATTAAGATGTTGTGTCCACCGAAAACTAAAAATAAATATTAAAAAAAAAGAAAAGAAAAAAAGCTGAATGGAGAAGTGTCAGATTCAGCTGGGACTTGGCCCTTGGGATCTGGAGATCAGAAGTTTGAGGACAAAACCCAGGCCGTCCACACCTTGTGCACATAGTCTGTGGGTTCTCCCTTCCTTCCTTCCTTCCTTCCTTCCTTCCCTCCTTCCTTTCGTTCTCTTTCTTTTGTTCTCTTTCTTTTTTGGCCCAGTCCTCCCATCACTCTAGGCTCCTAACATAGATTTGTGTGTGTGTGGTTTTCTATACTTGTATGAAGATGGTACAGCATTGTTTTAGATTTCATTTCTTCCCTTCCTCAAAGTTTTGAGATGTTAGTTGAGGAAGGAGAGGTGATGACGGCTGTAGTGGACACTGTGGGTGGCATTGGTGCCCCATCCTGGAGCCTGGGCCAGGACACCCCTGGGACCCCTCCACAGTCTCTGGGACCGCCTGACGGTGGCCAGGACTCTCCACAGATTCCAGAACTCCTTGACAGTTCTGAGGACGCTCCCAGGTCCTGGCTCATCACTGCCCAGCCCTCAGTCCTAGGAAGCAGCCCTGCCTGCTCCCTGTCCTCCCCACAGCCAAGGATTGCCTGGGGCAGGCCCCTTGGATGACAGTGGGGTGGCCTTCGGGTGGCCTTCTCCCTCCAGCAGAGCTCCTGGGTCAGGCTGGGGCAGGCCCACCCAGCACTTGTCCCCCCTGTACCTTTCCTGGTCTTCCCCTGAGTGTTGCTATGTGTCCTGCGTCCAGTCTGGGGGGTCTTCTTCAAGGGATTTTAGGATTTGCTTTTTCTAGTTCTGTGAAGAATGTTGCTGATATTTTAAGGGAATCACATTGGATCTACAGATCACTTTGGGTAATATGCACATTTTAACGATGTAAATCCATCTAGTTCTTGAACACGAGAGGTCTTCCCACTTTTTGTGTCTTTCCAGTTTCTCACATCAGTGTTTTCACATCACTAATTCAGTTTAGTCACAGGAATTTTATTATTTTTGCAGCTATTATGAATAGAATTGTGTTCACAACTTCTTTTTCAGCAAGTTTATTATTGGTGTATAAAAATTCTTCTGATTTTTGTATGCTGATTTTGTACACTGCGACTTTACTGGATTCATTTGTTAGTTCTAAAAATCAGCTGGTGGAGTCTGGTTTTTGTGGATAGAATCCTATCACCTCCTGAGATCCTCCTCGGTGCCTTTCCTTTCTCTTCCTGATCGCTCTGCTACTGCTTCCTGACAACCTGAGCAGGGTGCTGGGGGTGCCCATCCTTGCTTAGTTCCAGACCTTAGCAGAGAAGCTCTCAGCTTCTCTCCCTTCAGGGTGGTGTTGGCTGTGGGTTTCTCAGACGCGAACTTCATCTTGTGGAGTTGTTTATGTTCCTTCCCCACGTAATTTGTTCAGAGTTCTTTTCATGAAGAGATGTTGGGTTTTATCAAATGCTTCCCTGCATCTATCAAATGATCATGATTTTTGTTCTTCATTCTGTTGATTACACGTATTACATTTATTTTATTGCATTGCATCCCTGGGGGTGGGAGGAACCAATTAAATATGGTAAATTGTGTGTGTGTGTGTGTGTGTGTGTGTGTATGCGTGGGCGCGCTTTGATACTGGAAACTTCTCGTTCGTCTAAGGTTTCAGATGTGGGGCTCATGATGAGTCCTGATGCTCCTGATGACCTGACATTGTCTGTGGTTGTCAGTAGTGCTCGCCTCCATTTTTCATCTCTGATTTTATTTATTTATGTCTTCTCTCTTTGTGTTTTTCTTTGAAAAAAAAAAAAAAAACAGTGATGACAAGGGAAGCCCCCAAACACAGCATGTGAATCAGCTCAAGAGAAAACATTTGTGACTCAGTTGCTAGGTGAACTTTTTTTTCATGGAAGGCTATTTTTAATTTAAATCATGATTATTCAGACTCGGATATTGGTGTACATTTTCTTGTGAATTTAGAAAAGGAACTTCTCAGTTCTAAGGAAACAACTGACATTTGTTGTCAATGCTTAAAATTCAAGCTTTGAAGAACTGGGGGAATTGTGTATTCACTGTTTCACAATATTCCAATGCTCCAAGATTTCTGATGAGATCCGTAGTGATAAATAGGATTTGGAGGGATTGTTATATAATGAAATCACATTTCATATTGGAACTAAGTTTCTTTTTTTTAAACTAAATTTTCAAACACTACCACTTGTTGACTTTGCACCACATTTTCTTATGTACATAAACAAAAAAAACATACTAGCCAAAGCAATCCCTAGCAAGAAGAGTGAAGAAGGAGGCATCATAATACCAGACATTACACTGCACTACAGAGCCACAGTAACAAAAATGGCAGGGGATTGGCACAAAAAAACAGACACGTAGACCAATGGTACAGAAGAGAAGATACAGAGACAAACCCACATAAATACACTTATCTCATACTAGACAAAGGTGCCAAAAACATTCACTGGAGAAAAGATAGCCTATTCAATAAATGGCGCTGGGAAAATTGTAACAAAATGAAATCAAACCCCTGTCTCTCACCCTGCACAAAACTCAACTCAAGGTGGATCAAAGACTTAGGCACTAGACCTCAGACCCTGCATCTAATAGAAGAAAAAGCAGGCCCAAATCTTCATCATGCCAGTTTAGGACCTGACTTCCTTAACTAGACTCCTAAAGTGCAAGAAGTAAAATCAAGAATCAATAAATGGGATGGATTTTTAAAAAGTTTCTGCTCAGCAAAGGAAACAATAATGTGAAGACAGAGCCTACAGAATGGGAGAAAATTGTTAACCACATGCACTTCAGATAGAACATTAATCTCCAGGATATATAAAGAACTCAAAAAAACTTAACATCAGCAAACCAAATAATTCAATCTGTAAATGGGCTAAGGAACTGTGTAAACACTTCACAGAAGAAGAAATAAACAAGTGATCAATAAACATATGAAAAAATGTTCATCATATCTAGAAATTAGAGAAGTGCAAATCAAAACTACTCTTAAGATTTCATCACACCCCAATCAGAACGGCAATTATCAAGAATATAAACAACAATAAATGTTGGTGAGAATGTGGAGGAAAAGGTACATTCATACATTGCTGGTGGGAATGCAAATTAGGGCAATCATTATGGAAAGCATTACAGTGATTCCTCAGAAAACTTGGCATGGAACCACCATTTGACCAGCTATCCCATTCCTCAATTTATACCCAAAGGACTTAAAATCAGCATATTACAGTGATGCAGCCACATCAATGTATATAGCTGATCAATTCACAATAGCTAAACTATGAAATGAATCTAGGTGCCCTTCAACAGATGAATGGATTTTTAAAATGTGATGTGTTTATATATATGATGGAACATTACTCAGGCTTAAAGAAAAAAGACATTATGGCATTTGCCAATAAGTCTGGAGAATATCATGCTAAGTGAAATAAGTCAATGCCACAAAACCAAAAGCCGAATGTTTTCTCTGATACACTGATGCTAGTTCACAATAGAGGGGGGCTAGGGACCAATAGAGGTACTTCAGATTATGTAAAGGAGAATGAAGGGAGAAGAGGGGTATGGGGGTAGGAAGGACAGTAGAATGAATCTGACATATTATCCTAGGTACATATATGATTACACGACCCGTGTGATTCTACATCATATACAACCAGATGAATGAGAAATTATATATAATATAATTATATATTATTATATATGATGTATCAAAGTACATTCCATTGTCATGTATAACCAATTAAAACAAAAATTATTAATATTGTTTAATAATATTACATACCAATAACAATAATAAAATTTGCACTTTTGGGTTTGCAAAAACAAAAAACAAAACAAAACAACCCCAATAGATTGATTACAAAAGCAGACCTGGGACTCCTGCCATCTACTATCATCTTGGAGAGAGTTGGTAAACATTTTTAAAATTTTGAAAAATTAATCATTTTTATTAAGATACTTATGCAATGGGGTTTTAGAAGTACATTAATTAAAGGCATTTTCAGTTCTAATGTTCAATACAGCAAATACCAATACAAATTCATGCAAACAAAAGGTCCTTCCAAGAGTTTTGCAAACTCATTGCAAAGCCAAACGTATGAGGACGGCTGCTGAACGCCAACCCCTAAAACGGAGACCCTAACCCTGGCTCGGTGCTTTCCTCCTCAGAGTGCCAGAGCTCAGCATCCACGCTCCCTCCCGGGCGCTTTCTACGCCCAGCTGAGCGCCCTGGGCGGGAGCTCTGCGTCTCTGATCTCCCTGGAAACCGCCCGCCCGCCCCTCGGCGGACCCCGTGTTTTATTCCCCTCGTTCTGATTGGAGCAGGCTGCCGGCGGGGGCGGGGGGCACCGCCCCTCGCACGAGCGCACTGACGTCACGCCGCCGCCGCCGCCGCCGCCGCCGCCCCGCGCCGCCCCGCGCCGCCCCGCGCCGAGCTGCCGAGTCCCTGGCGGAGCTGAGCCCGGGCCGGTACCGCTGAGGGCGCGGCGGCCTGTGGGGCCCCCGAGGCTGCGGTCGGAGTCCCTGCCGCCCCCCGCAGCCGGCATGGATCTGGTTTTAAACCGGGCGGATTATTCACAGGTAAACCCGAGGGGTGGGGCGGGCGCCGTGCGGCGAGCCGGCCCGGAGAGGCTGGGTCCTCAGCCGACGCCGCCGGCCCGGGTCTTCCCGCCGCGGTTCCCCCGAGGGCCCGGCTGGGAGCCTGCGCGTGCCGCCTGGGGCGACGGAGCGCGCCCCGCGGTGCGGTCCTCGGGCTGCTCTGGTGTCCCGCGGGG